GAAGATCACTGAACTCCAGCTTACTTGTCAGTGTTTTCAGATCATCCGCGCTTCTTCAGCAGTGTAGAGAGCGCGCGCGAGCATGGTTGCCAGATACTATTGACAAGACCGGGTAGAAAGCGTGTTATTTTAACAGAAAAGCTCTGACTGGGGATTTAATTATTTAAATCTGGCAACCCGACCGTAAGCATGAACGGTCGTAAACACCGTCTGTAATGTGTTGTTGTCTCCTACAAGAAATTTAAGGTCCGTACGTGAAATTTAAGACCTCCTTATTGGAAATTGCAGATTTTAAGACATTTTCAGACCTTAAAAAGCGAAAATGTTATTTAAGACCTTTTAAGACTTTTTAAGGACCCGCGGGGACCCTGTGCCCTCATGATTACTTCCATCGCCATGGTAAAAGCCAGTGGAGAAATGGTGCATCCTGCCATTATTCCAACCTCTAGGCATTGCCATGCAGTGCTGAATTTTGGAGATGAGAAACTGAATTGCAAATCTCCAAAATAGGCTTTCACTAAATTTGTTATTGACATTGGTACTCTGAAAAAATCAAATGCTGCCCAAAGAAGCTCATGTGGCACTGAACCATATGCATTAGCCAAATCCAGGAATGTCACATGGAGCTCCTTCCTCTCCTTTTTAGCTGACTGAATTCGTTGCCAGATAACATTGATGTGTTCTAAGCATCCTGAGAACCCTGGAATACCCGCTTTTTGAACTGAGGTGTCAATGAAGCCATTCTTTAACAGGTAGGTGGACAATCTCTGGGCAATAATGCTGAAGAAAATCTTACCCTCAACGTTTAATAGTGAAATAGGACGAAACTGACTGATGCTTGTAGCATCTTTTTCTTTAGGTATAAAGACTCCACCTGCTCTGCGCCATGCTCTAGGTACAACCTGTTTTTCCCATGCCACTTTTATCAATTTCCACAGAATTCGCAGAACTCCTGAAGCACTCTTGTACACTCTGTACGGAACTCCATTAGGCCCTGGAGATGATGAAGCCCTTGCCTTTCTCACAGCCTGCTCTACCTCTTTCCACTTAGGTGCACAGACCTCCATTTGGAATTCTGGTGGGTTGATAGGTGGTATGTCTGATGGAATTGACATAGGCTCATGCCTTTTTGCATCTGAATGCGTGTCCTCCAAATATCTCTCTAGCTCAATCCTAGATGTTTTTAAAGTGCCATTCTTCTCACTGGTGAATAACTTCTTTACGAATTTGAATGGGTCTTTATAGAAATTAGCCCTCGCACGTTCCTTCTTTTTGTAGCGTTTCCGTAGGCGCTCAGCTCTGCGTAATGTTGCCAGCTTATCTTTTATGGCCCTTTGTAAGAGATTGAGTCCCTCCTTCTGACTTTGTTCTGCTCTTTTCCATTGCTTCCTCAGCTGTCTCCTTTCTCTAACTAACCCTTCAATTTTCTGCTGCCGTCTAGACATTCTAGGAGTAGTTTGTACTTTTTCCTTCCTTTTTTCCACACCAAACCTCTCACTTCCATATGCGTAAATGATGTCCCCAAATTTATCCAGCTTCTTTTCAACTGTACCAGTTAATCTTTCCAATGCAAAGCATAGATCTGTGTTTACCGTGTCCCATGCAGTTTTCTCACAAGCTCTTGGCCATCTAACTCCAGGCCTATACCCGTTGAGGTTCTTTTCTCTCTTATGCTGGTTAGCCTGACCGGGTTCACAAGTATGAAAAATTAAACAACAAAAATTACAACTAATAAAAACTAACAAAAAGCAAGAAATTGTTAAAAAATAATAAAACCAATTTTTAAAAAGTATTATTTTTTTCCCCCATCAGTCTGTTATAATTCATAAATCAAAAAGTAAACATTTAGAAATTGACAAGAATGCAGTCTAATTAAAAAAATAAAACCATTCATTGTCTTATTTTTTAATAAAGATAATATGGAACTGGTAATATTATTAAATAAAGCGAATACATTTATTCATCCAAGTGCAGTGTGTTGTATTCGTGTTTTCTCGATGTTTTAAATATCATCAGCCGGCAGGTCAGATGCATAATGCATTGCGTCGTGACTCGTGTAATTTTTTTAAAACTCTATTTTCAATAGTGTAAAAAGACAGGAATTTAGACCACGTAATCATTCGGTCGATTGCGGCGCGCACCGATAATAAAAAATGACTGTACACGGCAGACTGTAGACGGAAGTTTTCTAATTCCCAGCGAAATAACAATATATAACCGGTCTTTAAGAATGTCTTGATCGACTGGGATACAACCACTCTCCTTGCCTCCCTCTCCGTCTTTTCCTGGCATTTCTGGTTCCCTGATTTATGTTTTCTTCAGTCTTCTTCATATTTTTCAGTCAGTCAGTCAGTCTCCTGCTCTTCCACCAAGTTCATCATTAACTTCAGGCTGCCGCCTCAACTCTGATTGGTTCTGTTCACGAGCTGGGGTGGGACTTACAATTTTATTGGGTCCATCTGATATTTGTCACTGACTCTGACTGAATAATTAATAAATACTTTAGGTCGGACTAAACCATTTTTAGAAGCAGATATTTGGAAAAATATTTACCCAAATTGCACGTTTTTGCGGTTTTCATTTAAATCTCAGGCATGTATATAAATATTAGAATTATTCATACAACAGGGGCCTAAATAGTATAACTGTTGGATTTTGTGGGGCCCCCTGGGCAGCGGGGGCCCCTATAATTGTCACCACCTTTCACCCCACTAGCGACGGCCCTGCTTTCACTGATTGTTTACAGCTTAACGGAAGTTACACCCATAATTCGCGCAAAGCGTCATGGGGCGTAGGAATAAGGTGGATAGATGAATGTTAAAATTAAAATGAACTGATATTAATAGGGTAAATTATATAGGTATTTGCCTATTTATTGTTTTTATTAAAATATATTATTTAGGCTTTAACTCAATTGAATGTGTTTTACTATAAGCCAGGTGTTTTAATCATTTGTGGCATTGTTGTTAATTCGTTAAACTGTAAGGAAGGGATGATAATTTGGTGGATGATTTAAAAATATTCGTTAATCATCTGTTCATTCGAATGTAATCATAACGGTCGCCGGAGGCGCTCGACGACCATGTCATCTGTGAGCGTGAGTTTCTCACAATTTCAATCGATGAAACTACAAAGCTGGCACGGATGTATATATAATTACAAAATAAAGTCATTATAATTGTTATTGTTGTTAATATTATTTTATAAAGTAAGTAACGTAAGATAAAAGGAGTTTTATCACTACGTGTGACGAAGCCGTTTCTGCGACAGCTCCAGCTCTCCGACGCACAGTATAACCGTCAGCGTCCGAATTCACTCACTTCATTTCGTTCCCTCCTTGCAGATATAGTGCACTTAAATGCCATACACTATATAGGGATTAGTGAATGAGTGAACGGTTTCAGACACAGCCACTCACTCGCACGTATATGAGAATCGGAATATCACATAGTTGATGACATGGTAATCAAGTTTGTGAATATTTTGAATAAAAAAGGATTATAAAAATGTATAAATAATAAAAACGATACATCTGCGGTGTATTGTGACAAGCGTGACGCGTCGCCAAGGAAACATTAAGAGGAAACGTTCTAAAATAACGGTCGCCAGTTAGAATATTTTAAAATTACGCGTGAACGGTCAGAGAGTAATTCTACAATAGGCCCGCCTAACAGTGCTCTGCCATCTAGTGGCGTTCGCTTGTATTGCATCGAATTATTAATTCTGAACCAAAACCAGGCAGATGAAAGAGTAGTATAAGCGTTCGGTTGTAGTCCCCCCCCCTCTACTCTAGAGACCATGGGGAAAAGTTGAATGACACATCATATGGTATCATATATACGGTCATATATCCGTAGATGTCTCTTCGTCTGCCATTTTTCGCTTTCTCGTGTCCACTAGTAAAAAAATAAATAAAAAATTACATCCTGAAGTACTCACTGATACAACACATATCACCCTATGCTGAAATAAAAAAGGTAACTTTGTATAGCCTATATTGTTGAGTTTATATATAAAGTATAAACTATAACATATAAAACTTGGATATTGTTGAGTCCTGAAATCACAAATCCAGATTATAACTGCAGCAATTTCACAGCCTTTTTAAAGATCAGGGTAGTAACTGGACCCAGCACAGACCCCATGAGGATCACAGTCAGTGGCGACACCCGTATCGCAAACACTGGAAAACATCTTGTATGAGCCTTTATCAGCAAAGAACTCTCAGACAGAAAGTGTATTTTATCCATATTTAAAACACCCCTGCATTTGAACACTAACGTTACTAGTCTAGATCACCCAGATCTCTGCAAATGTCTAGTCTTCGGTCGAGTGATCAGATCAACTAACTCATCATCATACACATCCAGGTGAGTAAGTGTAACATTGCATCCACCGTGACCGCCTGCAGCATATCCTGTACACGCAGGCACTAATGATACACACTCCGCCATTCATACGGACTCCAGCTACACGCTAACACACGGCTGTCACACCTAAACTACTACACAAACAGGTTCAGTGTAGACTTATCCATGAAAACAGACGGGCTTTTACATTTAAGATGCTCAGTAAGGTGCTGCTCCACTGCTGTCATGTGTTTAAACACACCTAATACTGACTGTTATCATATTTACGCAAATACAAGGAATCAGTTGACATAAAAACAGTTTGTTTAATATCCAAAAGTTAATAGAAATGTGTATTTTCCCAGTCAAATTAAGCTGTGGCGAAATTGTATGCATTTTAAAAGCTATAGTGCTAATGGCGGTTAGCCAGCTAGCCCCAAAATTCCCTCGTTTTCTTCATATTATAGCGATAAAATCACCACAGATATAATTCAACGACAGCTCCGAGTTCACCGATGGTGTAACGTTACCTCTTCATATGAGTGTCAGTAGTTGCTGTTAGTGAGTTAGAGTCCTAGTTTTTAGTCAGAGTATACCCGCACGGCTAACAAGCTAACAGTGAAACCGTGACATTTAAATTTATCGACTCACCCTTGCGCTACTGACGAACCATTCAAAAGAGAAACCCCCCGACTCTCAGTCCGTCGCGGTTAAGACGCGTTTATCATCGATATCCAGCCGTCTGTCCGTCAGGCTCCATTCACTGCTGCTATTCGTGTGTGTGATTCTCTGTGTGCGGCTCTTCCTGGCTGAATGTGAACACACAAACACACACAAACCCTCCGCGTCTTAAAGCGAACACGGCATAGTAGTGTTCGTGGGCATTTAGTTATACCAGAATTAAACAATAAAGCGAATAACTATCGTCATTGCAATTACGGTAGATCTATCTTTCTATACACAGACATTTTTTTCCAGGTTTTCCATAGACATGATTTTTATAGGTCTACTGTATACAAACTGTATATTCTATCCCCTTACACTAACCCTACCCATCACAGAAAACTTTCTACATTTTTACATTTTCAAAAAACATCACTTAGTATGATTTATAAGCTGTTTTCCTCATGGGGACCAAAATTGTCTATCTTTGTGGGGACATTTTGTCCCCATGACATAGGGTTTACTGGGACACACACACTATATTGAGCTATCTAAATGGGGACATTCCATATACATAATGGTTTTTATACTGTACAAACTGTATTCTGTCCCCTTACACTAACACTACCCCTAAACCTGAATACCTAAATACCTAAAATACCCATCACACAAAACTTTATGCATTAAAAAAAAAAAAAAAAACTTTAATTACTTTATGTTTATATCAGATTTACAAATAAGGATACCTAAAGGGAGGTTTTTGGTCAATTCTGGGTACAAATTAGTCTCCAAAATATAGTTAATAGGCACACACAGCGATTTTCCTCTTGGCTGTATCTTGGTGAACAGCAGGGGGAAGTATCACACAGTATTAATGTACTGTCTGTGACTAAAGGTCCGTAAGATTTTACAAACATCTATAACATTCCTTATATTGCATGTTGCACCTAATCATAAACATGGGCAAAACTCTCAAAGGGTTAGTTCACCCAAAATGAACATTATACTCACCCTCACAAAGTTCAGTTTTGGTGGCCAGTGACTTCCATTATATGGATCAAAACAGCAACAAACAAACATAAATATTAATAAAAAAAATAAAATGTATTGAATGACATGAGGATGTGATGAGTGACAAATGATGAGTGGGTGAACTACCCCTTTAACCCCTCTTCATCCAAAAACAAAAATTCTGTCATCAGTTACTCGTCCTCATGCGCATTCAAACCTTCATTCATTTCTTTCTTCCTGACTGATTGTCTGAAATAGAGCACAAATGAATGGATCTATCAATCTCTAACACAACACTACAGTATAGGCCCTATACACTTCTTTTTTAATATGCCCAAATGAAATTGATGAGCTATACAGCTAAGATTTTTTAAAGTGAACGACTTTAATTTGTCGATTCCTCACATGAAACCCTCATATAGTCTTCGTAAGACTCTGTTTTGTCCTCTGTAGAGCTTGACAGCTGTAGTCACCTCTGTCCGCGTATTAAATGAGCAGCCTGGGGGATTGTAGCAAACTCCTTTTGTGTTGTACAAAAGTTGTGTAGTGTTCACTGAAAAACAAAACCTCAGTGAAGCCCTTTCTGTGTGAAAATGTAGCTTTTCACACAAAAACATTCTGTCCTCCTCCTCCTCCCCATGCACATTCCTAGAGCAGAACAGAATGGTTTGCACGTCTTTAAAGAAACTCACTGTAAGTGCAGCTAAAAATACCCCACTGAAACATAAAGGATCACGCATTTAAAAGTGGAGCATCACATACAGATGCACAGATCTTGAAAGAATACTAGTTTTACTTCAACAGTATGACTACTGAGCTTCAACACTAGCTAGGTGTATGTAGACACACAAACGATGATCAGAAAGAAATGCTAGCATGTTGTTTACTAGTGTCTGTGGCAATCAAAGTTATGCAATCAGATTACTTTTTTCAAGTTACTAGTAAAGTAACGCATTACTTTACAATGTACAACAAAATATCTGAGTTACTTTTTCAAATAAGCAGCAGAAGTTACTTTGTTTTCCCATTCATTGACTGACAGCTCTCCGGTCCTCATGTTGAGAGAAATCAGGAGTAGGCCTACGTGCAGAAGCGTTGTGTGAACATGATGGTTATTGTAGCTCTAGACTAAGGACCAGATTTACTAACAGCTTGCACCAGCACAAACCCTCTTTTGGCGTTTTACTGTCAGGATTTACTAAAGACACGCAGTGAAAAATTAGCGCTGAAAAGCTCTGAACAGTTATTTTTGCGGCTGAGCTTATTGTATGCATTTGTAGGAGTCTCCCTTTCAGACGCAAAATTTATGGGAGGAGAGTAAATGAATCATGCAAGGTGATTTACTAAGGTTTACGCTAGTCACTTACTCGTATTTACACCATTAAAGAGAAAAAAAAACACGTCTTGCAGACACTAATTTGTGCTGCTCTTGGTAGATTGTGTTGGTCATTATGGAAATTATCCATCTGTGTTCTTTAATTTGCGCGTTGTCAGTAGATCACGCGCTGAACTTTCCACTCCCATTAGCGCTTTTTAAAAATTACGCTCTCACGCTAATTTGCCCTGTTTAGTAAATCTGGCCCTTAATGTGAGCATGCAAAAACATGTTCAGTATTCCTCAAAATGGATAAAAACAGTGAACTGCAAATGCAGAATATTACGCAAACCTGCAATAATACAATTATACTTTATGTATTTAATCTCACTTTATTAGCCAAGGTCTTTGTTTCTGACCTTCGATGATCCAATTCAAGCATACTTATAAGAGTAAAAACTTTTGTTGTTTTTATTACTAAAGTAAGAACATCCTATTCTTCTGCGATATTCTTCCCTACTGTACAGCCGTTTGCATTTCCTTTTGCATTTGCACTTTTGGTGGTAAAGGGCTGGTAGTTGGTGATTAAATTTTTTAACGTGCGAAAATTTCGGACGCGAATAGAGAGCCTAAGTCCCTCCCCTCCGCTTCCGGCTCATGGGACCTTATTTCGTAAAAAATATGTATGGTAGTCAATAGCGAGAGACAACTTATCTTTTTATTCCGTCTGAACTGTGCCCTGAATTACACATATGATGTTTGTCAATTTAAAAGATAATTATGAAAGTCAAGAAAGTCGCAGTTTGTCATAAAACAGAAGAGTAACATTTAGTTTTATGTGGAAATCGTTCAATGAACTACATCTCCCGGGAAGCGAAACAACGAGCAAGATCCGTTGCTCGTATGTGTGCAGTCTGGTACAAAACTCAGGCATGACGGCGTAACGTTACGATTATAACGGTCAAACAGTCTCAGTAAATCTTCAGTAAAGTTAGCTTCATTCATGAGAGAAAATGTGCCTCTTTGGGTTTGTAGTCTTTGTAATTACGTGTTTTCACAGTCTTATACCTCAACAGTTTTACATCAAACTGCGACTTTCTTGACTTTAAAATGTATCTTTTAAATTGACAAACATCATTATGTGTAATTCAGGGCACAATTCAAACGAGATCAAAATATTTGTTGTCTCTCGCCATTGACTACCATGCAATATTTTTCCGAAATAAGGTCCCGTGGTGGTCGACCGGAAGGGGAGGGACTTAGGCTCTCTATTTCGGACTGACGCCACCTTCACACTGGCAGTTGAAATCAACTCCGATACGGCTCCGAAACGACCGGAAGTCATTCATTTCCTATGGAGATTCGCAGACCGCATGCGAATGGGTCCGAAACGGGTCCGACCGAGTGCGGTGCGAAGAAAATAGTGTCCGTTGGTCATCCAGATGCGTTCAAAAAATTGAACTCTTGCGAAAAGCTACGGACGGTTCCTATCCGACAATTCCAGCGGAAGTTAGCGTTGCTATGATACTGATAAACAAATCTGAATTCTTAACTTTTAATAAAATAAATAATGATTTTATAACGATAAGTTGTCATGTCATTTTTTTTATTTTCATGATTTGCTAACGTTATTAGGGCAGTTAATACAATTAAATTGTAGGCAGACATCGAACTAAATGTGATATAGTGGTATAAATTATACCACTATATCACATTTTTTAGCCGACCTGACATGTCAACGTCCTGAGCAACTTTCCTCACGCAGCAGCCTTCCTATTAATATCTCTATAACCCTCATCAGAGAGATCATACAGAACTGACAGAATCAACCTTTCTAATCTCTCCGCCATTTTTGTTCTACCCGCTTCCGACGCTTTTCACTGTGTAGTACGACGTCCGTTGGGGGCGTATTGCGTATTACCAAAGTCCTGGTATTACGGAGCTGATTTCAACTGCAAGTGTGAAGGTGGCGTGAGTGTGCAAGGGTCTTGAGTCTGAAATTCGCGTCCGAAATTTTCGCACGTTAAAAAATAAATACGACCTCACGTTGTGTCAATCACGCTTGCACACTGCCTCCGAAACTTTCGTCCGTCATAACAAAAATCCAATCAGGTTTGATTTTCTGCGTTTTTCCGCATCCGTAGCAAGCAGTTTGAATGGTGTTTTGACAATTCAGAGCCACCGAATCACAAATACGAAAAAACGGCCTTAATGCCATACAACTTTATAACCCACCTGCCACATGAAAATGCCACTAGATAGATAAAACACTAGACTGTGCTGAGAAGTTTAACGCCATTAAACATTTTAAAATGAAACCAGTTGTCACAGTTACAATAACCCTGGTCTGATCAAATAATGACTCATCAAAGAGATGTTAAAAATCATGATTGATAAATGTGATTTAGGGTTTGTACGCCAGAATGGAAATATAAAGGCATGCATTGTGGGATGCCCTTTTATATACTTTATCTTTAGGCAAAAAAAATAATAAAGGTCATCTGGTATTATGTGAATACTGTAAATCTGCAGAAACAGTCAGAGTAGAACGTTAATTCTGAACAAAGCCACACACTCCAAAAAACACACCGGACCACTGGATTAAAAAACAAACAACCAAAAGTGTTTATTATTTTTGTCCTGTCTGGAACCCAGGAGCACATCTCTCAGGTCAAAGGTCATAGCGCTGCGCTGGGTCATGGGTCCCAGCGGGTGTGGGATCAGACAGGGAGGATCCGGGCTGGGTGGGAGCAGGTGACAGAGTGAGACACACACACACACACGCACACAATCAAATTCATTTCTGAAACAACTCACTACAAACCAGTATCAGTCCTTTTAACACACCACAACATAAAACAAGTGATGGGCTGAAGTTCAAACAGCCAAAGAAAGCGGCAGAGAAGATGAGAAGTCTGTGTGTGTATGATACGCATTGTTCATATAAAGACAGCTAAACTGAATAGTACAAAGTATGTTGGAGAATTTCACTCATCCTGCATAGAAAAAATCAAAACAAAATCCAGCAACAACAATTTCTCATTACTGTAGAAAAAAAAAAATCATGGACAATTTCATTAAAACTATCTCATTATTGTTCACAGAGAGGGAGAGAGAGAGATGTAGTGTGAAATAAACAACTGTAACTAAAAAAAATGAAATCCAGACAAAAATTAAAAAGGTCCAAAAATGTATTTCAAAACAGAGGCAGCTTAGTCATGTTTCCCACTGTTCTTCTGTCTCCGTTTATGAACTATTCCATAACGTCAACCGTCATCCATGTCTAAGGAACATTTCAGAGAATGAAAACAAGACAATGCCAATAACATTGTAATTTACCTTGGTCCAAGTCCTCGTTGGTAAAGGTTGGTGACTTGTCAAGATGCATACATCAGTGTCTGGCGTGATGTTTACGAGGATACAGGCACTCTTCCACTTCATTTAATTAGGAACATTTCCCATTTCAACCCCTTTGTGCCAAGTCCATTTGGTTGGTTACGACCACACAAGATCTTCTGAAGCTTCTCTGCCTGTGCCATGACGACAAACCAGCCTCACAGAACTTCACAGTTTGAGCCAAAATAACACTCCTCCAATCACGTAAACACTTAGTCAACAGCTTTTCAACCGTCTTGCATTGCTTTTGTCTGCATCTTGTCTCTTTAATGTGGCAGATCTCAGAGCTTTTTCACAACCCAAAGTGCTAATACCTGATATTAAAGGCTCAGAACATACGAAAACTACCCCGGATCAGCTAATCTGTCACAACCAGCATTTCTCAAATGTCTCAGTGTTGCCTGTGCTGTGCTGGACGCCCCCATCTACTATAAAATCCTCCCTTTTAGGTCAGACACCTTACAAAAATATTCTGTTTAACGGAGAAAAGCAACGCAAGCCTTCCTCTACCTCAGCATCCAATCATCTCCACTCAAATCCAACGCAAAAACACCACAAAGGAAATGGCGATAACTTGTCAATGAAGTCAGGCCTTGTATAAACCTGCTGCCAACTCCTCCATTACCATTTATTCAGGTCAATTTGGCTTATTATTGTTGGTCGCTGCAGCACTTTGACACTCTGGAAGAAGTTTCTTGCGCTCATCATCCAAGCAAAGTTGGATTTGTGGATTCATTTATTGCCCAAGATCTTCTCTCCTACTCTCAAGAGTGTTTGAGACTCTGAATCTTAGTTTGACGTTCCACACAAATGGAAACAGTAGAGCTGAGCTTAGAGAAATAAACTAGTCCATGGAAAGCAGAAGAACGGGATCTAGTCACCATGAACTTGAAAGACATCCTGGTCCGGCTCCGTAAACGCAAATCATTTGTTCTGAGCTTAACAGACATCTACTCTTGTTCCCCATTTAAACGGATAAAGCTGTTCTCTAAATGAGCAAACAAGAACCTTAACGGCTCAACAAGAAGAAGCAAAAACTGAAGCCAAGTTGAGCTGGCGTAACTTTCGAAATGTAACATGTTAATGTAACAGACAATTAAAATAGTCTAGACATGTGCAACTATCCCAGTAATACTGAAATAAAATAATAAAATAAAACCACATCGAAGCAAAACATCACAACACAAGTGCCTTGTCTCCTGCTCCGTTTTGGAAAACCACTGCTTAACTGGAAAAAACCCCTAAACATAATAGGACTAAATACAAGTTTTGGATATGTAAACTTCTGCGTCCACTAACATTCACAGCTTGAAAAGTGTGTATATGTACGTGTGTCCTCATAGACGACTCTTACTGTGAATCCAGAAGCGAAAGAACGATTCTTTTACTGTTTGATTGAATTGGTGTAAACCGGTACTTATTGCTGATGTTTTGAAGCTGGACGAGTCTTCAAACATCTTCATTTCTCAATCTTTTCTTCCTACACACCTTTGTTTTGAACATTTCAGATGCCTTCTAGCAAAAACAAACAAATGTTGGTGTGGATATGAGCTAAAAAAAAAAAAGGGCTACAGAATCCGTAAAAAAAAGATTAGAAGTTGAATAGAAAACCGAAGGAGACATTCAGAAGAATTGAGTCTGGAATTCATCGAGTATCGGAGCCCTTTCTGGTTGCGTTTCAATAAATGAGGGTCTTCCATTTCCTGCAGTTAAACTTGCTTGTGGAAAATCTCGTCATGCTTACATGAGTCTAATTCAAGTGTGCCGAGACACACTCGACTTCTTTTCTGCGAATGCGTTTGGGAGAGTTTCCTGGGTGTGTTTTGTCAAAGGAGGAGAAGCGCTGATTAGATTCACAACCAGTTAATACATAAAACACACAAGGTAAAGAAGGTGTAAACAAACTCCATGAAGAGTCCAAGACTCCTTCAAGAAGAGCCCAAGAAGAATCCAAGATCCTCATTTGCTGGGAATCAGATGAATGATGGAGGAAGTGTAAATCAAATGTAAAAGGACCTTCCAGGTGAGAGCAGTGGAGGGGACACCGTTGCTCTTTCACACACACATTCACTCACACTCTGCTTGTTAAGGCAGTGGTGCTCGAGGAGTTTGCTGTGGGGTTCAGGCTGGGTGATGGCAGTGGGAAAGCTCCAACGCAACACAAAAACACGAGTCATTTGCTCTTTTATTCATCTCAGGTCTCTCCTCCATTCCCAGCGTTCCTCATACTCTTCTGCTCTCCTGTCATCCAGCCGCTCACCAACTCTCCATGTCTTTGATTCGGCATGGTCTCGTTTATTCGAAGGACATTAGATTCGCTGGGACCTGGAATGGAAAAACAGGACGTGACATTGAACAAATCTTAAAGTGATGATATGTATGGTTTTACAAGACCCTGCACTGATATATACTAGCCATCTATTTCAGATGGTCAATCCTCTAGAGAAAAAACTCAAACCCAAACCCAAAAAAGGTTCAAACGATCAATCCTCAAAATATCTTACTAATGCAAAAAATACTATTGTTATGATTATATTAATTTATGATAAATGATTCACAGTTCAGGTGAAGCCAAACTATATACTAATTAGAGTCTGCAAATTTAATCAAAAATTCAGGAAAAAAAAGTTAGTTTCAAAAAGTTGAAATATATTTGAATAATAACATTTAAATATAACATTTGAATAAATAAAAAGTTGTGTTGGGAAGTCAAATAAACGATTAATTTATGAAACAAACAATTAAAATTAATTTGAGTCATAGCACATTATTATTTTTTATAATATGCACTAGCATTCAAAGTTTGTCAGTAAGTGTTTTTTTTTTTTAAATAAATGAATACATCCATTAAGCAATGGTGCATTAAATTGATCAAAATAATTGCAAATAATGTTTCCCCCAGTTCAAATAAATGCTGTTCTTTTGAACTTTCTATTCATCAAAGAAACATATAATATATAATTGTTTCCATAAATAAGCAGCACAAATGTTTTCATCATTGATAATGCTAATAAATGTTTCTTGAGCATCAAATCATCACATTAGAATGATTTCTGAAGGATCATGTGACACTGAAGAATGCAGTAATGATGCTGAAAATACAGCTTTGATCACTGGAATAAATTACATTTGAATATAACAATAGAAAACCGGTATTTTAAATTGTAATAATATTTCACAATATTACAGTTTTACTGTATTTGATCAAATAAATGTAGCTTTGGTGAACATAGGAGACTTTAGTTCATATCTGCTGTTCAGCACTATGTTTTTTGTCTCAGTTATTTAACTCAAGGGTGTTTTCTAGTTTTATTCAATGTATTTTGTGAAAATGTGTGTACATTTAAGTTTAATGCGGTAACTAACTGAATATGTTCATTTAAAGACCCTTACTGTTTTTTTTTTGCCAGAAAGATATGGTGCAGATTAAATTGCATTTGATATTTATAGAAATTAACATTTGATAGTTATAGGCCCATATTTAAAAAGACATAACCTAAATGCCTTCAGTGTTGTTTGCTTATTTCTGTAGTTCTCGCTTGCGATGTAGTTAGACCGTTTTAAATAAAGAGTAGCTTGACTGTAGTTTCACTATTGTAAATCATGATTAGCTTTCAAACAAGCTTCTTCAACACTGCACTTGACATGATAACAAGCACTAGAGGGCAGTGTCATTGCTCAGTTTAATAAAGACCTAAACACCTGCTGACGGAACACGTCCAGTCTGACCTGTGTATTTGGAAACAACAGTTTTCAAAAGGCCATTATGTAAAATGCTTTTAGTTTAATAGATCCCACTGAAACACTGTCAGTGATTTGCTGCTTCAAAACAGAAGGTTAGAGCAAAATGTTCACATATTTATTGAACCCAAAGGATTCTAACACACAATGGCATCTCCTGAGGAGCAATTAACATCCTCAATTTAGCTTACAAATGTAGCTTTCGGATGGAAACGCTCTGAACATTAAGTGCACACTGAAGGCCACTAAATTGCATATGAGCATTTTCTCTACAAAAGAAACTGAGCTAAATAACCCTCTGAGCTGAACAAGTCCACACACACACACACACACACACACACACACACACACACACACACACACACACACACACACACACACCTGTTGCCTGTTGCTTTGACAAGCTGCACTCAAGTGTTTGAACCACAGCAGAGCGTTCATTCGGTTCCCTGCCTGGAACTTATATGAGTTTCCTGTGGGCACATAAATAAATAAAATCAACAAAATATGCATATCATAATAGATAGCTACACTGTAAATCTTTTGTCACAATATTGCATCAATATATCATTGTCTGGACAGTGATTGTGACAGGCTGTCTCACCGTGCTCAGAGTCGGTCAGCAGGAAGATGTCGGGATGCTCCGGGTCGTCTGCCATCATGGCCATTAAGCCCAAAACAGAAACACTTTTGCTGGCGGTGGACTTGAACTGTGAAAATTACAGTTCAAATATTTAAATATTATAAACATTTAATTACAAATTATACTAATGGAATTACAATTTGTATAGAAATTAATCTAAATCATTTGAAACATTTGCTAGTATTATTATTAATTTTTATTAAAAACTGAAAAATGCAGTCAAAATATTTAAATGTTTCTAAACTATTTTCTTCCAATTTAATATAACATTTTTAATTGCATAATGTTTCTCCAGTCTGTATTTAAATTAATTGAACTGATCTGAGATACAATTATTGACATTTATTGTTATCAAATAACAATATATTGTAATTCCATACATATATATATTATACAAATGGAATATATTTATATAATATTATATTAATGGAATTACAATTTTTACAGAAATTAATTAAATTTGAAATACTATTATTATTAAAAACTGAAAATTAGTCAAAACATCAAAATGCTACTAATCAAATTATTTCAATGTAATATAAATATTTTAATTACAAATAATGCGTATACGAATTACAATCTGTATACAAATTAATTTAAAAAATATTATTATTATATAATTTAATAATGATAAAAAATGATCAAATGAAAAATGTCTTTTTTTATATGAATATACTGTACATGCATACAGATCGGCTTCATGTGCGCAATCCTGTATTGCAAGTGTCTGTGTAAACAAGTAGGCCTGTTACTGTATGTGTGTTTGATAGCGACATATGCTTCTCATTAATCCTGATAATGTGTGATAGCTGGGCTTGCACTGATGATGTCATCCATCTGATTATCCAATGACTGCAAACATCTGCCCTCACTCAGCACTGAAGCCGGTGTCATCAGTCATCAGGTATGCTGTTTGTTAGCATTCACTCTTCCTCCCTTCTCTACCCCTCCTGGACAGAGTCACATCTCTTCAAACGCCACCCAAGGCTTTCTGTCTGATTCAGTCCATTCAGCGCTCACATGATCCCTATCTCTCCCAACCTCTCCTGCTGGATGGTATTAGAATAAGCACTCTCCCATCAGAGTCATCCTGCAGTGATTAAGTGATGACGCATCAGGCTGCAGGATAGAGTGATGCTTCCTTTCATCATTTCATCTGTATCAGCTTCAGATGGACCACCTTGGACTCTTATAAGCATTTTGTACGCTAAACGGTTCTAACCACATAGACACACCCTTGTGAAAGAGCGCGATCGGGTTTTTATTAGTCTAAAGGGAAATAAAACTTTGCAGATTATGTTAAGAACATCACTTTTTGCCTAGTTTGGATTTCAATAGGCAAATGCTTAAGAGTCTATGATTGGATGATTATTGCAGTGATTGTAATTTTTCTAGCATGTTATTTTGGCAACAGTCTTTCTAACCTTAATTGATGGAGTGTGTAGCTTCTCGTTTTTAAACAACCATGTAGGAAGACACATCATGGATATATTCCAGGATGTCTAATGTCAAGATTTATCAGGATCAAATAGTGTAAGAATGAAGCATGACGAATCATTTTCACATTCACACATGATGACCTCTGAGTCCAGACCTTAACTTCATTGAAAGTCTTTGGGATGTGCTGGAGGAGCCTTTACAGAGTGCGGGACTCTTGCATTCAATACAAGATCTTGACCAAAAATTGATGCACCTCTTTATAGAAATAACATCACAACATTTATTTCCAACAAGAGGTGCATCATTTATGGTCAAGCTGTAAAGTCTACTCTATTTGTTGATTCTAAGTAATCTTTTTTTTTTTTTTTTACTGTATTACATACTGTTATGACTGCAATGCAACTAATTTATAAACATCTTAAAAAAAAAGAAGGAAGTTTATTACCATGGTACACCACAGCACTGGGGTCAGTACGTTTTTTTGTTTGTTTCTTGATCAAAAGTGACAGTAAAGACACTTTATAATATTTCAAAAGAGTTATTTAAAATAAATAATGTTCCTTGAACTTTCTATTCATCAAAGAATAGATTACACAAAAATATTAAGCAGCACATCCGTTTTCAACATTGATAATAATAATAAATGTTTCTTGAGCAGCAAATCTGAAGGATCACTAATGATAATATTGTATTAAAATTAGGGATGGCCCGATACCGATACTGGCATCGGGGATCGGGTCGATACTGTCCTAATATACTCGTACTCGTACTCATAAAAATTCGCCGATACCACGCACCGATACCACGTACATTTTGCAAAACGAAACTGGCCGCCGCGAGTGCTTTGTTGAGGTGAACTGAGGCATAGGAAAGTATAATGTCGGCGGTTTGGGCTCATTTCAAGATAAGGGGTGATGACAACAGCAATGCAGACTGTGAGTTATGTTCAGCTAAGGTGTCGAGAGGAGGGAAAGAAAGTACATCGTTTAACACCAGCAATCTAATTAAACATCTGAAGACGCATCATAGATCTGATGGCCGAGCGCGCGCGCGGGCGGTAATGCACTCACTCTGTGTGTGCGGGTTACGGGAGAATAAAACGATTCGCGGGACTCCCGCAAACTAGAAATATCTATGAATAAAACATAAAAACTAAAAGATTTTTATTCATCTCTTGCAGAAAAGCAACAAGAACAACTACAACAAAATAGAAACGATTTACAGGCCAGAGTTTCTATTCATAACATGGTTACAGCGTTGAGCGATGTAGCCAATCACAGACATATGTGTTGATTTCTGGAACGCAATGGCCAATCAGAAGCATTTAAGATAGACTCCCCTCACCGCTCAAAACTGACTTTTTTGTTCAGTGCTGAATTCTGTATGCTGGCAAATCCTCGAATTATAACAAACAAAGTGTGGATATTATGAAAGATTGATTGTGCAGTCAGCTTCATTGATAATAACAGAGATGTGTGAGATCGCGATGAACTGTCAGCTTTTAGGCACTTTGCGCGCATTCAGTCATGCCAGACCATGCACGCAGTAGCCTGCTTGCTTTTATGTTAAATTAACAGTGGTTTGTGTGTTAATACATTTATTATTTTACTAATTTTTATTTATTTTTTAGACTTGTTAAAACAAGCAGAGAAGAAAATAAAAACAGTCTTCTAACCTGTGTTCTAAAATAGTCGTCTTCTTTTCTGGGAGCCTATTACTTTTGCGAATATCGGTATCGGTACTCGGTATCGGCAAGTACACAAATGTAAATACTCGTACTCGTATCGGTTTGAAAAAAAATGGTATCGGGCCATCCCTAATTAAAATAGAAAACAGTTATTTTAAACTGTAATACTAATATTTTACAATATTACTCTCATTGGTAAATTCATGTTCATTCATTCAAAAACAAACAAAATCTTTATCAAACTCTGAATGGAATACTGTACGATTGAAATAATCTATCATAATTAATAATAAAAAAATAGTAATACTAATAAGTTATTACTAACATCAAATAATATTTTATAAATGCGTTTTAATTATATTTTGTATTATTAATACAAATTAATACATGATTAACTAACTGTATTTTTTCTATGGACATTTCTGAAATGCACTTTCTGCAAAGCTGCTTTGAAACAATATGTATTGTGAAAAGCGCTATACAAATAAATTTGAAATGAATTGAATTATGAAAACAAGCAAAAGGACAATGTAAATCCTGACAGTCCTAAAATAGACCAGTTTCTTTAAACCCCTTCACTTCTTTGCCAGAATAAGCAACAACGAGGTTTGTGAGAGTAATGTGAAAGTGGGGAAACTCACATGCTTCCTCTCTGTGGCCTTGAGGGACTTGGCAGTGTAATAGTAGAGCTGAGTTCCACAAAGAGCCACCCAATACTTAGTCCACGCTGCCACCTACAGACAAGAAAACCAACACACTGAAGCACATGCCCACACCAGCTAGTGCAGAGAAATTAATGCATATATTGACCATAGATACTGTATTTATCAACCACTCAAATTGGTTCAATTACATATACAGTAATTGGTTAAATTAAATTCCACTACCACACATATAGACAGCTTCAAAGTGTGCTTTTTCAAGGTTGAAATATTGGTTACACTATTTTAAGGTGTCTTTGTTACAGAATTTCAGGACTGAGTAATAATAATTAGCAACATGTACTAACTAGGGTTAGGAATAGGGTTTGGTTTAGTTGCATATAATTATGCATAATGTACTGTTATTACTACTACTACTACAAGTAACATATGTAACAAGGACACTGTAAAATAAAGTGTAACCACTTTTTTTTTTAAAGAGTAAAAAAATCCCCACAATGTCAACTAAGTCTAATATATCAATAACAGCATTCCTGAGCAAGCAAAAAACAATATAAGGCCAAGAAGTAATCTGTACATATTAATCAAGATTAACCGAATGATATATTTATGGTAATTATATGCTTATGTAAGATCTTATGTAAGAAACCATGTAGTTATCCAACATATCTACATGCATATATGAGTAAAAGGTCTAGAAAGAAAGAGATAGGCAGATTTCGTGTCAGATCAAATATGTGCAGGAGATGTGGCTTTTAAAAGGCCTCTCAGCTCCCATTACTGGACTTTAACACAGTATCTTTTACTGCCTTGGCTCCCTTCACACACACACTCTCTCTCTCTATCTCTCGGAGGAAACCGCTGGGTTTGATGGGGCTAAAGGATAAATGACTGACAGTTAAGAGACACTCTAGACCAAAAGATAAAAGAGCAGATTATGAGGAGAGGGCAAGAGGGGAAGAGACAAAACGGCAGATAAAGCACTTCAGCAAACTGGTTTTGATTTTATACTGGACATCAAGCAGTGACCAAACAAAACCCAATTTTTTATCGTACAAAAGTAAAGTGTCATAAAAATCAAGCGATATACACTATTGCTTAAAAGTCTTAAAATATTACTACGAAAATACACAAACTGTCCATGCTAGCTTTTTCAAAGTGTCAGATGAATATGTATCAGAATAGTTTTATTGGACGCAGCCTTTGATGTCAAAAAATTTATATTTTAAATAGTAATCATTTCACAATATTGTTTTTACAGTATTTTTGCTCAAATAAATGTAGCCTTGGTGAGTATAATCAGGGTTCCTACAGGTTTCTTCAAGTTAAATTCATGTCTTTTTAAGACCTTTTATATAAAAAAATTAATACCTATTTCACGTCCCTACCAGCAAAGAAAAACAAAATCCTTGAACTTGTGTTCATTTATTTTTCAAATGTGGAATGGGTAAAAGATAAGCAAAGCAGGTGTGAAAAACATTTCAGTAGGCCACAAGAAAGTTTGCCGAACAATGTTAAGTTGTGTTTTAACATTAGCTAGCTACTTATTCCATGCTGGGAATATGGGGAACTGAGAGACCCCTGAACAATAAACATCGAAAATTATAATAATCGTGGTTGACAAATGAAACTTTTGAGGAAAAATACATTACGGAGAAGTTACGTCATACAGCACAATTTTTAAGACCCAGAATCAAAATTCAAGACTTTTTAAAGTCTTTTTAAGGTATTATTTCCAAATTAATAAATTCAATGCTTTTAAGGCTTTTTAAGACCCCGCGGGAACCCTGATAATAGACTTATTTCAAGACTTTTGAATGTCTGTTATAATATAACATATGCATAAATTAATAGCAATTTTATAATATTGCTATGAAAATACAAAAAAACTAACTTGCCAAATGTCAAATGAATATGTATCAAAATAAAGTTAATGAACAGCCTTTTACGTCAACAATAAAAAGATATGGTGAGCAATTTCTCCTTTTTAAAAGTTAATGATTCAATTTATTTGGTTTGCTAAAAAAAAAAATCATCCTTTTTAGTTGCAGTTTTATTGCTTGCATTTAGCACCATTTTGGAAAAGAAAGAAAGAGACGGTGTATGAGATCACAGGGAGAGATCAAATGGAGTTTATGGACAGGAGACGGGTGAAGTGTTGCAGTGGTAGTTTGCTCTCACCGTGGGTTTCTTGCCTTCCTTGAGGACTGTTTTCCTGCGTAAGACCCCCTGAACTGTGATGGCTCCTGGGTAAAGATGCACCGCCAGCTCCTCTGACTCAGCAGAGCTACACACACACACACACACTCACGTTTAATTGACACACAGGGACATGTAACAGACTTTTTAAAAAGACACATAAAATTATAAATCACACAAGAGCCACAATGTGAAAGTGAAGAAAGTGAGAGTGTTTGAGAGAAAGAGAGAAAATTAGTGAACTGTGACTGTTATCTTTCTTAAAGGGATAGTTCACCCAATGCATATCAACTTTAATTTATAATTTGTTCCTCACACAAACCTATTGTGTGACTTCAGAGCTAAAATACGTTTGTTTTGTGTGCTCTTTGAAGTTTCCCGTCTTTATTCGATCGAGAATCAGCGCAGTCTTCAGAATCTTTTCTCTTTTTTGCAACTAAGGAAATTGACAGGTTTGGAAATAAGGGTGAGCAAATTATGACATTTAATTTTTTTTAGGTGAACTGTTTGTTTACTTCTGTTATATGTATTTTTTTCTTCAATTTTTTTCTCCACTCTGCCAAAAGCAATCTCTTTTCACAAGTACAGAAATAAGACAACTCTACCGCCTACAAATGTTGTGTCTACAGACATTTAAAGAGCCACAAAACATTCCTTCATTATTCATTTCTAAATCTAAACATAAAAAAAAGTTTGGCTTTGTTTAGTTTGATTTACTACGTAGGCAGCAGTATTGGAAGATCTTTATAAAATAAAAAAACACTTGTAACATTAACACTACTGTATACTGCTCATTAATACACTTTTGTCCACTTAGAGAAGGTTATGATGACCATTTTCTACTCTGATACTTACTTTAAACAGGCTGTCTTGGCTACTGCACCTTTAAGATTTCTATATGCAGATTACCTTTGTTATGATTGGCTGAACGCCCTAATAATAATAAATAGTGTTGATATGCAAAAGTCACTGGTCGTCTGTTAACCATGAGTAACATATGTCCTTCATTACTGAATTAGCTTTTCAAAGTTGTTTTTTATTGCTTTTTCACAGCAGTGTTTTAAAAGGGATGGATTTACAGACACAGCCGCTCTGCAAGGGTTTTAGCATGCTGAAGTTGAGCCTATAAAATAAATTCACCCTTTTTAAAGCACCACTGCGGCCGTCAAAGCACTGTTTGTGCAACAAATTCAACAGTACATTTCAAGACGATTGCTGTCAGACTTCAAATCGTCTGCTGTGAGCAGTGTTCCCGTTATTATTTACATTATTTGAAGGTCTGCATCTGAGGCTACTGCACTTCAACTGTTCTACACACATTTTTTAACACAAGAACACATCCTATGTAATTATCCAGCGCTTGACCCCGTTTACTCTCTCAGTTCATGATGTTACTCGTCTCACTGTGAACAATTCATCAGTACATCCATTTTCCTTCAACCTTTTAATCAAAATTTCTATTGGCTCTTTTCCAGTACGAGTAAAAATAGATCTGATGCAACTTTACCCAATCACAAGGGGCATGGAAACAAACAGAACTAAGTATCAGAACAAAAAAGAATTCCAGCAACACTTGTGGTGAACTTTGAATGGTTTCTGAAAAGATACGGATGCGTTACGGCTTCAGAGCCTTCCTCATCCTTTTCTTTCTTAGTATTGAAAAGATAAAGCAGAGCACAAGAGAAGGTAACCGATTACACAAGGAAAAAGAGAGAGGCTTTTTGGATTTGCTTAAAGAGTTTCTGTGATGTTGAGTGTATTGTGTGACTCTGATGTTTTTTTTAAATGGAAGTTGTTGCCTTGGTGCTTGTTGACTGAATCCTTTATGATGTGAGAATGTGGAAGATATGTCAATTTGACAAGGATGTATTCTGATTGGTTGATTGTTTCATCTTGACAATAAACCTTTTGAGTGTTAGAAGTGGAACTTGTCAGCTGTAGCTAATATTCCCTTTGTTTGCTAACACTTATTGAGTCATTTGGAGATGTTTTGTGTATTGTGTTCATGTATTGTGTTTGTTGTATAACCTGAGGAAAGATCTCAAGCCGAAACGAGTCTGTATTTTTTCAAAAACCATTAAAAGTTCACTTCACCACAAGTATGCAACACTCACAACAGCCGATGGAGAAAAGCAAGTCCCACCCTACATTTTATTCAGCTTCACTTGGAAGTAATGCAGTAGTTGCAAGTCAGTCGCAACTTCCACTTCATATTGACATTAAGATGGCTAGTTAGACAATCCCATAACCAGTGGGAAAAAAAGTAGTAGTTTCAAGTTGCATTTTTGCAGTTTAAAGGTGTGGTCAAGATTGACAAAAAACTTTCATTGGTAATAGTGTAGTGATCTAGTGTAGTAGTATATTGGTAATAGTGTAGTGACTTTAAAAAGAAGTCACTTTCAAACCAAGCAGCTTTTTATTGGTCAACGTGGCAAATTTGCATGACTAGCTGAACCCAATGCGAAATCTTTATAGGAAATCTTTCGATATTCCCAACTGCATAGATTGAAATGATAGGATTTCACCCACGAACATTTGCCGAACGATGGTAAATTTGACCGTACCTTAATCATCATTCAGAAGTATAGTGCTTTTAGCACTGGAGGTCGCAAACTGGCTGTATTGTAGGGCTGGAACGATGGGTCGATGTAATTGATTACGTCGATTACACATTCTTTATGTTCTTCCCTAATCCCCTGTCACAAAACAAAACTCTAGAACAGATGCTAATGGATAATATGACAGCACCGCTTAATACGATTGTTCATATAGCTTTTTTCGGATGAACGCAAATCATTTCGCCATCTCCGTGAGTAAACTGAACCCGTCATGATTTTACCGTTCACTGTGAGTCCCATTATTTGACGTGGCAGACAACTAGTTGTCCAGTGCGGTTCCGTTCATTCAGTGCAGGTTTGTCGAGAATGAGGTTGTGACTCCTGAAAATGTGCAGGAGCCAGTTGGGTTACAGAATGGAGTTGTAACGCAACCGTATTAAGCAGCGCTGCCATACTAGCCATTAGCATCTGCTCTAGAGTTTCGTTTTGTGTGAAACATGATAGGAGATTAGGGATGAACATAAACGGTGCATAATCGACGCAATCGATTATGTTGACGCGTCGTTCCAGCCATAGTGTATTGTTGGGAGTAAATCGACATTAGTCCTTCAACTTCTTAAATCAAAATAGGTACATCACAGCCCCGTTTACACTGGGTATTAAAATGTGTTTTCGTCGATCCGATCACGAGTGGACGACATTAAATACAGGTGTAAATGGGATCGAAAACGTTTTGAGATTGTCTACTTTCGACCACTCTGAAAACCCATTAGATGCATTCATGTGGTCGGATGCGGTTAAACAGCCACACTTTATGGGAAATGTAACGTTTTGAAAAAGCACACCAAAACAATCGATTCCAACTTCGCTATGTTGTGGCAAAACACACAGATAATGATTGAAATCACTGTTCCCATTCATTTCCTTTCCTCTGCACTCCCGTGAAAATTATGTAGAGTGTGAGGAAATGAGAAGGATGGGGCTCGGACGAAATGGCAAGTGGTCACAGGAGACGCAATTAAAATGCATGCTAAGGCTTTACCCGGTAATGCGTCTAGCTGACCACTTGTGATCGGATCACTGAAAACACATCTTAATACCAGGATGTACAAAGGACATTGTTTTTCCCACTTGCAATCGGCGATATTGAAGCAGAGGTGAGAGGAGGCGTGTGTGTGTGTTTGGAGAAAGCAGGAGCAATCAGAAGAGATGCTTCAGTGGCTTTTGATTAACAGCAACAAGCCACGACTGCATAAGAGTCAACATCACACGTGTGATTCAGAAAAAGCCCACCACCTGATTCCACAGCAAGAACACACACACTGTGACAGCGATAGTTCCCCGGTTGTTCAGGGTAAGTCAGATAGAAAGAGATCCTGGCGGGGGTTGAGGTTGAGTTACCTGCTGGACCTGAGCGCTCCTCTGCAGGAGATGCGGCCCACTCTGCTGACTGGGCCCAGAGAGTGGTAGAATCGAGTCCTGTAGAGTGTCAGTCATAGCGGGGCAGTGGTCAGTCACGGCCCTCACACACAACACACACTACAGGCTGTGCTAGAGCTCTGAAGCCTGGACTCTTCTGAGTCTCCTTCTATGGTCTAAAGATTCTGGCTAACATGTCTAGACAAGCGGTTAGCATACAACAGATTTGCATTAGTGGTCAACCAATGATACCTAGAAAGCAGCTTGGCCAGTGACTAATACAGGGCCAGATTTACTAAACAGGGCAAATTAGCGTGAGAGCACAATTTCAAAAAAGCGCTAATGGGAGTGTAAAGTTCAGCGCGTGATCTACTGACGACACTCAAATTAAAGAACAGACACAGCCGGATCATTTCCATAATGACCAACGCCATCTACCAAAAGCAGCGCAAATTAGCGTCTGGTTTAAGACGAGCTTTTTTTGGACGGTAAATAATGGCGCAAATACCAGTAAATTGACTAGCGCAAACCTTAGTAAATGACCTTGCGTGATTCATTTAAATGCTGTTCTCCAATAAATTTTGCGTCTAAAGGGGAAACTTTTATTATAAATGCATATGTAATAAGATCAGCTGTAAAAAATACATTTTCAGCGCTCATTTTTCACTGTCTCTTTAGTAAATCCTGACTGTAGTTTAACACCAAAAGAGGGTTTGCACTCCTGTCTCTTTGAATGGGGAAATATCAAATTCTCCAAAACTGTTTGCCAAGCTTACGATTAGATTTCATATTTGAAATCACCAATCTGACGACAACTGTCTCATAAAAGTTGTTTCTAAACGCTCGAATCATGACAGAAAATGACATTTTTCAGGCTGGATCAAGCTAATGCTCTTGCATCTGACTGACTCCGGAGCTGCAGTGACACGATGACTTTACCAATCGGCTATTGGCTCTTATTTAGACTTATTCCGGCATATTGAGCGTTGCACTTTTCCCCATTCAAAACTGTACGAGTGACGCGTCTTGTGTTATTCTACAGCCTTTGGTAATAAGGACGCAAAACGCCGTTCTTTTGAACTTCCTATTTATCAAAGAATCCTGAAACAAAAAGATCCTGAAAAAACAACATTTGTTTTATCCATCCACAGCGCTATCATTAGAATTTGGAATTGACACAAAGCCAATCAAACAGGGTTACCGGTTAATGTTGATAACCTCAAAATGGCCAAATTAATAAATGATTGTTTATCTTCCTATTTGTACATATAAAACCAGACCAAATGTTTTAGAACATAGAAGGAGACTTGGACATGCATTTAGGGTACAGCTAGGACCTCAGTGTACACCTGATGTAGAATGGCAGGCAGCGGCCGTCACAAATGACTCTCTCATACTCTGTTCCTGTTACAGGAAGTTTCCCTCATTAGCTACAATAGAGGTAGAGCACTAATGAGGGAATATGATGATCATTTGGGGTCAAAGGAAAGCACAGGCAACTGAGAGAAGCAGAACACACTCTTTTGTGCCACAAAGCACATGCTGCTCAAGAATGGGAAACTATATGTCTTAAAGCAGTTTTACGTCACAATCGAGATTGCCAATTCATTATAAATAATAAACCAATCAGCAACAACTGTAAACGATGTAAATGTAGATGTAAATGATGATGAAGATGATGGATAAAGAAGAAACATTCCCTGTGCAGAAGCACCGGGAAGAGTCTCTGGGGAGGGTTGCGTCAGATTCCAGCATGTTCCATGAAGACATGCTGTGTCCATATGTACCCACGCATGTGGTCATGTATAGTATGTGCACGTGTAACTGTTTGCAAGTGTGAACTCACCTCTCAAAGGCAGGCCAAGACATCTCCTCACTGAGCTCCGAGCCTTCACTGCTTCCTGAAAAGATAAGATCATGACATATGTTGGTAAAAAAGAAGCATCGCCCATGATCCAACAGCTTTCTGTGTGTGTGTTATACCCAGTGAAATGCCGCTAGACAGCGTTGAGCTCTCTGCCTGCCCTCGTGTGGGTGTGTGACTCTCCAGCACACTGTCGTCCAGCAGATGTCTGGATCCGGCGTTGGGGAACGTTGCGCTTTTAAACTCCACCGTGTTTGTTTTGTGGATAAAACTGCAGCACACAAAAGAAAAATATAAGATCGAGATTTCCTAATCAACAGAAACCAGAAGATTATCACATATAGACCTTGTAGAAACTGCACAGCAGTGTGAGGAAGACCCTACCTCTGGGAACTGGGTTCTTTTACATTTATGCATTTAGCAGACGCTTTTATCCAAAGCGACTTAGATTGCATTTCAAGGTACACATTTTACATTTTAATTTTTTTTATCTGTTCTCAATTTTTGCTTTCCCTGAGAATCGAACCCATGACGTTGCAAGCCCCAATGCTCTTCTGTTTGAGCTACAGGAAGCTTTATGCTAGAGAGCACTTACTGCAAAGTGTACCATGTCACGGACAAAAAATGTGAAAAAATATGCCACTTAATATCAATAATATGGTACATTAATAAGATTTTGGCCTGTTTCACTTCAGCTTTTGACTAACAAATAAAATCATACAATTTAATATCGACAATGTCAATTTTAACAATCTGTTGAATTGATATTAATTTAACACCATTTCAAGTACAACTACCTTCTAAATTACCTTTAAAAAACATGCATCAATCCTTAAAATTGTAACTCAAGAAAAGCATCTTATTTATATACTTTTTATCTGTGTAAATTTGATGTTTATTTAATATATATAAAATTATTATTGCAAAAAGAAATAAACAAATACACAAATCAAAGTCATAAACAGTATTAAAACATCTAAAATGTCGGGATGTTTTCATATAAAATAAATAGTTCATACAATAACTTATACTCCTTTTACACTTACACTAATTTTAACGTTTTTCTTTTTTTTAGTTTTTGAAAGCACCTCGTTTTATTTTTTCCTCCTCTTTTACTATTTTTTACTTATTTGTGTAAAGTGTCAAATGGTTCCACACCTTTTCAGTGAACAAATAACTTTGTGAAAAATAGACACGATCAAGGACTTTAAGACTAATATAGTATAGACAATTTTTATTGTGTTGAATATAATTGTACATGGCACCAACTCTGACTATGGTCTATAAAGAAAGAACGACTAAAGATATCTGAAGAACACAGGTAAAGAAGACCGAATGAACTAGGCCACAAAGGAGTGTGATGTATACAAATGAATGGAGCGCATGAAGCAAACGCACTTGTAGCCAAGGCTGTGGCACTTCCTGTGTCCGTAGGTGATGAGGTTCCGGGGAGAGGGGGGCGTTGGCGGGACTTTAGGCAGGGCGCCCTCTGCAACATTACCACGACGACCACATAACGGCGACGTAGATGTGTCTGGACCTGTGTCAAAAATTATTAATTATTAACAACAGCGGGTGAAAATAAAGGTGTTTAACTCTTTCCCCGCCGGCGTTTTTGATCATTTTCACAACATTTTTAATGGCCCCCAGAATATTTTCTTGTATATCTAAACATGCAATGCATCAAAAGAAAGAAAAGAGCATCTGCTTTCACACAAAACAAACAAACGTTCTAAGCGAAGAACGAAAAATAACTTTGCCGTGAGCCAATGTGTGTGGGCTACGAGTGCTTCTCACCTGTGAGGTCTTCTCTAGAGGCAGTGGTGCGAGGTGTGCTGGTAGCTGGTGGCTCAATCTTTAGGGACAACCTGATACGTACACAGACATGGCATCACTAAACACTTACGCTAAAACTATAATATATAATCTAAACACAGCTCCCGCTCACTTATAATTGTCGTCCTCCACAAACTTCTGTAACTCCTCAATGTAGCGAACAGAGTTGAGATACTTCTGGACATGCGGCAATACTGGGATATCTGAGAAAGCGGGAAAAATGAATTCACACAGTTAAGGCCCGTTTACACCAAGAAAGTTACTATAAAAGCTTACTATATTGGCGTTCACGTGTGCAATATCGTTCTGTTTATTCTAAGACAAGTAGTTTTGTCGTCTGCCACTTTAAATGATCAAGCTCTTTTTAAAGCAGGATTGATTCTGATTGGCTGTCAGTAGCCGCGTTTCCATTACCCTTCAAATTGCGCAAATTGAAATTGCGAATTGAAAATACGCTCAATGGAAACACGTCCATTTCGCAAAAACTCCCGTTTATCGCAAAAAAGTTTTTACGCTCGCATGAGGTGGTTTTTCAGGCAATTCGAAAAAGGAATATTTCGCAAAACTGCAATGGAAACGGGTTTTGCGCATTTACAGTCACCTGACTTAGAAGACGCGGTGTGTTTGGGGTCCGTGTCCGCAAATAATAATAATAATTATCATCATTATTATAACATTTATCAGGCAACATATGTAGAAGACACTTTTATCCAAAAAAGAAACCAAGCAATTCGTCACATCTCATTCATAATACAGGGTGGACAATAATAATAGGGCTAAGATTATCACAAATAAACAAGATTTTGACGCATATCCAAGTGTTTGTGCGAAGTGTGAAGCGCGCACTGCATGGCAGGGAGGCACAGGCGCGAACACTTGCATTTTCCTATCAACAGTGGAAACAACGTAAAATACTCTATTATTTCTGGTCATACATTATTCGCAACTACTTTTATTTGCGTAAACTCACAATAACAAGAAAACGTTGTGCTTTTGTAAAATAAAATAAAACAATCAGGCGCGCTTTCATGGTCTCCGTGAACTGGAGCTCCAGAACTGAAACAAAATATCGCCTGGCTAAAGCTCGAAATGTCCACTTTAAAACGAACAAATTAGAATCTAAAGCTAATACCTTCTGATTACGTAATCCATATGAAAGGTGCATTTCTCGGGTTGGAGATGGAGATATGTTTTTTAGCCGACACTGATTTAGGAAAACAATAGTTTATTACTAAACAATTAAAATGCCTCGTTATTTTTTCAGACACATTTATCATAGCCTATAGGCTAACTCTTTTCCAGCACTGCGGGAAAAATGTAATTTCTAGGTTCTAATTTGGCCTTTGAAAACCAGTAAAATCTACATTTTTTCCATATTAATTTGTGAATATTTTAAATGTTTAATAAAGGGGCAAAAAGTCATAAACTAATATCTGAAAATTCGTCGATATATATATATAATTTTTTTTGCGCAGCATTTGGTGTAGCCTACAGTTCAAATAAAAATTTTGGTGTTCAACTTTGCGTTTTAAAAATACAACAACCGTTCATTTTTTTGTTTTGCAATTACGGGTTAAATAAGGGAAAACGAATGGACACAAAAGTAGCCTACACTGACCGTTTGGACGTACGAGACAGAGTTCTTTATTAAATTCATAAAAGAAACAATAATTACAGGAATAGCCTATACTGGACTCTAAACCTCAAAGAAATGCGACAATCAAGACCTCGGAGCAGAAATGAGAGAGAAACACCCAGGAACTTCGTGTCATTCCCTGCCATTAATGCTTGGATAACACACCACGTCTCCTTCCGTTAATAATAATAATGTCTAGTGCGGTGGCTCTGATATAGCTAGGCTATCTATAAACCTACCAACGTCCGTTGCCATGATTTTTGGAATGACTTATCGCGAGAGGAAAAAAAGACGTTTTAGTCGCATAACATCGGTTAATGGAAACGCCGTCATTTCACAATCGTTTTTTATGGACATTTAGAAAATATCGCACAAGTTTTGCGCAAATCTGTAATGGAAACACGCCTATTGTCTTTATCGTTCATCAACTGGAAAAAAAAAATCTTCCTGAAAGTGATTCCAATGATATTGTTTCTCTGTGATATAGTTGTGGTGTGGACTCTGCTATTCTTTAATATTTAGGATGATTTTTAGAACTGTATATTTATCGTTATAGTTATGGTACTTGGCGTGAACGGGTGTTTACTTCGGTTTATATCAATAAACATACATGTGATACGCACCATATTCACAGGATCTCTGCAGGTCTGAGATGATTCTCAGAATGTTGTTCATGAGGTTGGAACGCTGTTCGTTTTCAAGAATGCTGCCAGTGGAGGGATACGCCGAATCGATGTAGGTCAGATCGGACAGATATATACCTGTAGCACAAATAAATTTCATTTTTTAAACACGCAATTTACAGTAAAATAGCAACCTGAAGACTTTCATTTTTTAAAAAGACCTTGAGTTAAAAAAAGTGACCTATTATTTCAAGCAGCAATTGCTGTGCATTTCTCCTTTTCTATCAGAAATCTTTCATTTTCTTTGTTCTCTGTTCTTGTCTGTTGGGAGGTGGACAGACAGGCTTTCTCTGGCCCGTCTAGAGTGCTTATTTCATACTGAGTAAATATTTGGATTAGTGAGGAACATTATGCGCAGGAAGTATCTGCATTAGAAATAAAGATATGCAGCTTCTGGAGAAACATTTGGCAGCATGCAACTGATCTCTAGAGCCACACTGTTTAGAAAAATGTGAATATTGATGATATTAAAGTGTGTTTGTGACAGCATGTTCTTAAGAATATAATCTTGGGACTGCAAACAAGTACCAGTCCAATACAGACATTACATCAGAGCGTCACATCTGGGATGATCATCAAAAACAACACTACACAAGCCCCCGATGTGGATGACAGTATGACAAATGAAAGTTTGAAAATAATGTGAGACAAATCAATCCCATATTACTTATGAGAATCCCACAATAATTTACGATGACATAATGGTTAGATAGGTAACATATCAAACTGTACTGTAGTGTGGGTGGATACTGAGTGCTGGGATTGGAAAGTGCAGTGGGTGGAGTCAAGCATGTGATTGACAGAAGAATTCCACAATTATAAGCATGACCAGTGGAACTGTTAACCATAGATTACAAATCTGAATAAATAATTCAATATATAAATAAAAAGCTTACACTTTTAGACCCCCTGTATATAAAAAACACTACTGTTCAACAGTTTGGGGTCGGTACAATTTTATTTATTTGATCAAAATACAGTAAAACAGTAATATCGTGAAATATAATATAAATATAAAAAAGCTGGACAATTTAAAATGTAATTTATTTCTGTGATGGCAAAGCTACATTTTCAGCATCATTACTCTATAGTCTTCAGTGTCACGTCAACATCTCTATTATTATCAAAACCGTTGCTGGTTACTATATGTGGAATATGTATTTTAAGGATTTTTTGGTAACGCTTCCTTTTACAGTACAGTACTTACGTGTACTTACAGTGTATTACCTAGAAAGTACTGGCTAATATAAGGTAAGTACATGGGTTAGGGGTAGGTTCAGGGTTAGTACCTAGTTATTATCCAGTAATTATAGTTACTATAATAAGTACATAGTAAGTACATGGGTAACAGGACTGTATCTGCTGTAGGAACTGTAGGAAGCGTTACCGATTTTTTAAAAATGAATAGAAAGTTCAGAAGAACACCATTGATTTGAAATAGAAATCTTTTGGAACAATGTGAATGTCTTCACTGTTACTTTTGACCAATTTAATGTATCCTTGCTTAATAAAAGTATTCATTTCTTTTAAAAAACCCTTACTGACCCCAAATATTTGAACAGTAGTGCATGTCATTTTACCATCGATGCAAAGTATAAAGTGAAAGAGCGTGAGAAAAGAAGAGAGATGACTTCTTTGTGAATGTCAGACAAAGCTCAGGCACAAGCTAAATATTATTGTGGGAAAGCAGAACGGGAGAAAATCTACCGAACAGGAGACGTCTGTCCATTTCCTTAACACCTCATTTAGGAGGGTGAAGTCCAGCCATTCAGGCATCACACTTCCATTTAAACACCTCTGGCGATCACACACACACAAAAATAATACATAAACGACAAACTCATACTCAAACTATACTACAGACCAGAGATCAAACAACCAAAGAGAAAAACCTGTAAGATCAAAATAAGACAAACATTTGACGGGGAAACATTTCTGTCCTTCTATCTAGAACATGCTGTCAATAACGACAGAACATAAATTTGACTTGTCCTTCAGTTCGTTACAACAAATCAAAAGAAATGAAAATTTGTTTAAATGACTCAATTTCAATGTGGGTTTTTACAGTTCCAGGGGCATAGAAAGTAGAAATATGCCGCTTAAATTTAGTTAAAAACCTTCTGTAAAATTTATAAATGGCCTTTTTTTTTAGTAAAATGCGTTTCTGACATAATTCTTGCGAGTGGAAAACTTTGCATGTAAATGTATTTAAATAATCCATTTACATGTATTATGTAAAAAAAAAAAAAGAGGGTTTACTGTCATTACACGGTCCTGAAAGCAGTTGAAAGACTTAGTTAGTGGGCGATTTTATCACACTAGTCACATGTAAGCACATGTAATATGTTTACACCTTTGTGGTTATACATTCAAAATAATGTCTACTTAAACATTTGTTCCAGTGCAGTAGTTCATCCCATAGACCTCTATTCCTTTAGCTATGGAAAACTAATCTTAAGGTCCTTATAGGGACACTTCACTCAAAAATGAAAATTGTGTAATTTACTCACACTTACATCATGTTGTTCCAAACTTGTATGACATTCTTTCTAAAAGATTGTTTTAGAGAATATTTCAATTATTTTTTGTTAATACAAAGAAAGTCAATGGCTTGACACTGTATGGTCAAAAAACAAAAGACATTCTTTAAAATATCGTCCTTTAAGTCCCACTGAAGTCCGTCAGTCATACAATTTTGGAACAACATGATGGTGAGCAAATCGTGAATTTTCATCTATGAGTGAAACATCCCTATAAAGATCTTTCTGAAGATCAGACAAGAGTCAAACACACAAACAGTCGTGACTGCACGCAAACAGCACTACTGTAAATTCATACAAGGAAACAAGGGAAGGACATTCTGGTCTCATTGGACAGATTGTTCAAACACATGCTCCACACTGTCCAAATGATCCTCAGTTTCCTCCTTCCATTTTAAACAAACATCTGAGAGACATGCGTGGGTAGATCATTATCTATTCAACGTGTGCCATCCTCTCAGGACTCCTGAAAGCATGTGCGTTTAGCAAGACCACAGGAAGAAATCAGTGGAGTCCTGTGCTGCTGGGCTGTAAGCGAAAGCAGTCCTCTCCGTCTCCACAGACCGCAAGCCTATTCTCCCTGAGTTCAGAGAGATCCCTGTCCACCGCTTGCTGTCCCCTCCTCCTCCTTCCCTGAAGAATGAGAGGTTTGACGGGAGGTGAAACTTTAGAAGGGGTCGAGTCATTCTGTCTCTATTTCAGCACCCGTTACATCAGAGGAGGAGTTAGGCTCTTCCCTCCAAAAAAAGAGAAGGAGAAAAGGAAGAGGGAAAAAAAACATGCCCCAATCCCCTCCATCTACCCCCTCCCTCATCCTTCGTGAAAAACTGTTGAGTTGCTGTCCGAGAGTCTCCAGAAAGTAGCTGAAGGGTTCCAGAGCGCACTGCCCCAGATCCCGTGAACCCTCGGACAGGAGCTCGCTACTAGGCTGAGCAGCGTCCTGGGCACTGGGGATCCAAAACCACGGGAGCTTTGAGGGGGAGTCCTTAATATCCTTGGATAAAAGAGATGTGTGCAACTTTAAGGACTTTTAGAGAGCCACTGGGAGAATAAGGAATCACGGAAGACACCAAGGACCGGTGAACCACAAGGATCTCAACAGAAAACAGACAGCAATAAAGGTCAGAAGACACCTGGGTAAAAGTTCTTCACTCACTTGTTTTTTTTTACATACATTTTCTCTAATATTTCAATTTTCATCCCTCACTCTGTCAGCAGCTGGAAGTTTACCTTCATTTTTGTTTGGAACAGGCCTCTACCTGTACATTTTTTGTTTTTCTGAATGAATTCCTCAATTTACTGACCTGTGCGCTCAGCCAGGGTACGGGTGGGCCAAGCGGTCTGGTCATAGGGTCGTTCCGAGAGTTTGCATTGGATTACTTTTGTCTTTCTTCATAATCAAGAGCAGGGAAGTAGGACAAACATCAAAGGCAGAGAATTACCCAGAATTTCGCCTCTTATTCTGTTTGTTTGCTTTTCAGAAAAAAGAGATGGGTTTGACTCTTGGTGTTTTCTGGTCCACTTCGAGGTCATGCATTGGGGGGCGAATGCATCTGGATGGGTGTGTTTGTTTGCTTGGTTAAGAGCTGCTCTCTCAGCATGCTTTGAGACTGATACTCTCACAGAGATTTCAACTGTACATTGCCGGCTACTCTGAGGCTTGTGTCTTGTGGCTTTTCTTGTACTGTAAAGGCTGTATTTTGTGGATTCCGTCTTATTTTGGTTTGAGGATTGTATTGTAGCATGTTGTAGATGTTTCTTGGTTGCCTGGTGCTCCTCATGGTTCCTCTGGCTGAAGCTCTTGGAAATATGATTAACTGAGTAGCTATGTACTGTTTGTAGGGGATAAGGGACTCTATTCATAAAAAAAAAAATTAGTTAAGGAAAACAAACCTACCAAGACAGAAGGTCGTTTTACACTAACCACTTCCTCATGTAGAAACGTCTACCTTCTCTCGTTGCGCACACACACCTCTCTGACTTGACACTGGGCATTCTGAAGGCTAATCACAAACCTAGTGTGTGTTGTAGCACCATTATCAATAATGCCCTGCTGCCGTCAGCCACGCAAGGAACAGCACCAGTAGACGTCAATTTGAACAAAACCAAATGTTGTAAATAAAGATGAAGAGGACATAATCTTACGTACAGAAAGAAAAAGAATGCAGTGGTCTTATCGTGTTTAACTAGTTTTTTGCTTAGTGTGTCATGTAACGTGGTGCAATAAAAACAGTGAGATGTGATGCACGAATATGTCCTGTGTACACACATTATGCAGATGACCGTAATAGTGAAAGCAAACCAAATGGCTAAAATGTGAAAGGTTAGAAAAACGTATGTTTCCTCTGAGAGTCATAAAGCTAACTAAAATCCGCTCACAGAAAAAGCCGCTGCTCTTGGACGAAGTTTCATGTCATTACTCTTCAGAGAACATTCTGTGCTGAAGTGTTGGCACATGGTTCACCTGTAGCACATGTGAAACTTCTTAAATGTTCTGTCTTTCACACTAAAAGACACACGACATTATTTCCTAGCATTTCGTTAAACTGTAGAGAGATGCTGAAATGGGTAAACGTATTAAATATTTTAACTGAAGGGGTGACAGTAGAATGTGATGCCAAAGACTGCCATTGTTCAGATTTAAATGGTCAATTCCTGTGGGTGCTGGTGATGAATCGCATCCGTGATGCTCGCATGTCGTGAGCCTCTTTAAACTGATACAGATACACATTGGGGCTGTTATTTATTCATTTTAATTAATCATTAATCTAAAAACAACAAATACAACCCATATGAATTTTAAAGCCGCATCATATTTTGTCAGAGAACTTCAGGCAGCAAAACTGATTCTAGATTTGCATTTCATGAAGGAAATATTAGAATGTGCCCACATTCCAGCAGTCAAGTTTCAAACTTTAATCTTAAAAGTTCTTAAAAACTGTCCAATAATATAAAGCACACCTAAATATACCAATAAAACAAGGTTTTAATGTGGTCTGGGCAGAATTAATTGCACAAAAAAATGATGATGAGATGAAGAAAAAGTAGTAAGATGAATTTTAATACACCCTTGCACATAACAGATAAGAGCCAACACTTCTCTCTTAGAAAGTGTTCCGTTTATCGTCTTCCTTTCAACAAGTTAAAAAAGAAAAATACAAGCATTGCTTGTTCTCATCTGCAGCACTAAGGTAATTAGAAACATGTGGAGATGAATTGGACCCTTTGCAGATATACACACGGCTTCCAGATTTCAGGCTTCCTTCTTCCTCGGTTGTCTGTCATTTTAGCAGCCACAATCTACTCTGTCTCAGACAATTTTTCCAAATATGACATTCTCTTAAAATCTAAGCCTGGAATGGCCCACACTTTCATCTGCAACTGCTGCAATCTTACTCACCGTACTAAAACAGAGCCCAATAAAAAATCCAAGCTAAACATGAGAGTGATTTAAAGATTTGGGAATAAAATTTAATTGCCAATTTGCCAAATCGTAAGATTTGAAGGAAACTTGACTGCTGTGTCCAACTAGGGGTCAACGACCTGATGCTAATTTGGCTTATCAATTCATTCAAAAATACAATTACATCATGCAATAAATAACTTTACCACAATTCCATGATGAGCATGTTTTTTAGTTTCAAAATTAAAATTAAGTCATGTGGTGCAACCAACATGCAGGCAAGAATGTCAATAAGTGTCTTAAAATATTAGATCACTTGACTTTTTTTTATGAAATGAAATGTCATGTGGTGTAACCTTTCAAAAACAATAATATTTTGTACACTTACATGCATTCAAGGTTTAGGGAAAATCTGCTATTACTTTTTACTTGCTGGTTACACCACATTTTAGTGATTGAATATCAACTTTTCTTTAAAATGTTATGAAACATTTTCAAAACAATGTGGAAGCAAATACAATGAGTATTAACCTACGAACTTTAACCATGCGTTTTAAGCCTATTATTTTTCAACATTATTATTTGTCATTGATTTACTGAAAATTATTGACTTTCTAGCTGTTTTGTCAACGTTTTCAGTGTGATCATCCCTTAAGCCTGATTTAGCTTTGTGCAAGCAAACTGGAGAAAACGTTCTGCTCTGTCTCTCATGACTCGCATGTTCCCACAATATAAGCAAGTTTTGAGCAGAATGAAGCTTCTGAGAGGCTTTAAAAAGGGCTTGTGGGTGGTGATCAGGACCAAGGTCTGAGCCTTCCAAACCACGTTCGGTGAAAAGCTGCATTCTCTAGGAGAGGCTTGCTTCTTTTTCCTGCTCTCTCTTTTCTTTAGCTGTGGGCTCCAAACTCAATTAAAGTTCCCACATGCCCAGATCTCACTTCATAAATTCACTACATCATGCCCTGTTGGTCTTCATTCTGCCAGCACTCATTTCCTTCTACACTCCTTGGGATGGAGTTAAAAACTGCAACTTGGGGCATGTTTTCCAATCTCCTATGAAGTCTTTTTCCTCCTCCCTTGCTCTTACGTTCTCTTCCAATCTTGCTAATTTTATCAGAGTCGTCTCCTGATTGAACAAGAGCGTATCATATGTTGACACATCCTGGTTTTCTGATCTTTTAAAATGTCGAGCCATGCTAAAAAATACTACCATAATGACAAACGTGATCGAAACATCGTTCTCTAGTGTTGTTCCAATATAACGAATTTCATGAACAACAGCAGAACGAGAATTCTCTTCTGTTTACTCTCAAAGCTTCTGTTTCCAACAGTGCTGCCTCATGCATCCTAACAAATTCAGTACGGTCCCTCATTTGTCCCTCTGTCATTCCCTCCTGCCCATCACTCAAGTTGTTTCTCTTTTCTTCTCCTTTCTTTCTTTTCTTCCTTGCTTTCTCATTATGGAATATTTTTTGAAGTGCGTCTACGTGTTTACTGGACTGGCTGCCGTCATCTTGGGAAAGTCTGACAGCCAGATGTGGAATTCTTAAATATATTTTTCAAAAGAAACACTCTTTCAAGGAAAACAGATAAATTCTATTTAACTACCAAAATAATGTATGTGTTTGTGTGTAAATGCATGTGGTAAAACGGCAGCAATGGCTAATGAGATGAGCAAGGTAGGGTTAGCGTTGTCTGGCTTCTGAGATTAGCTTTTAAGAGTCTCTTTACAATATCTCAAAAACTGTTGGTCAGAGCCGGGGATTGTTGTGGACCACTATACTGTCAAAGTAACTGCAGTGTTTAAATGTAACATCTTGTTGAGTCATGGAACCCCAGACTCGTCTCTTAAAATTTTATGGAGCTAGTTGTTGGGTTGACTAGCTCAGATCTTATTTCTTTCATAGTTTAGTGACTAATCATATAAACTTAAAATTGGCCATCTTGTACAAACAGCTACATTCATTAGGATGTAAACTGCAACTAACCCTGGAACGTGATTAGAGATTTAGGTAACATCAGTTACAGCATGCTGCATTACAAACCATTATGTTTGTCTTGGGACTTATTTGCTTTACAAATCAAATAAAAATCTTTATAAGTATTTCTCTACATTTTTCCTCACCACCTTCTCCAAGGAACACAGCGTTTTAAGATGCTACGTATCCTTGTCTAAACTTTCCAGCAATAACCTTTTGTCACATAAAACTGTTCAAACTGACACTCCGCTTTCTGACTAATAAACTTTGCAAGAAAAATACGGGACTTTATGGTCCCATATCAAAGCTTTCTCAACAAGAGTACAAACACCCTTAACAAAACACCTTATATTACCCGCTGTTTTCTAGTTAACCGTTTAAACAGCTCTCAACTGCCCAATCAAATTTTGACTCGAAACAGCTGACCAGAAATCAAAGACACTTGGGCATAAATCCCACAAAAACAAGAGCTCAAACTCTTTTACTCACTTCAGAGGAAGTCAATAATGTCATGCCAGACACCACAGGCTGAAACGAGGAGCTGGGCGCTAAGTGAAGAGAAAGGGAATAAGCTAACAACTGTAGCTCAGATCCAACCCTAAGCACAGCCAAGGAAAAACAGCTCCTGGTGGCCCACCAAAGCACATCGCATACAAGCAGACCAGCCAGAAAGCAGCGTTTGCCATTGTGAAATTATCCACAAGTAACTGAATAGATGATTAGATGAATCGACCACGAATAGTTTGGCTTTTGAAAGAGCTTTTTCATCGTCTACATGCGTATTCAGAATGTTCTTATAAAGCCAAAGCCATAAACGCAACAGAGCAGATGCTGATGTCAGCATCAACCCTATGGAGTGTTGTTAACAAGGCCAGACAAGAGGGTGCCATGCTGGACTCTTCAGCTCTACATGCTGGAATTACAAATGACACTCACTGTAAAGACATTGAGTACATTAGAATAGATGGTGATCAAGTATAAATAACAAAGACGGGACAGTAAAAAGAGAGTGTGAGAGAGAATTGGCAAAGCTGACTTCCAAGACGCAAGTATAAACAAAACTCAGTAGCTATCCCTCTCTCTAAGCTGAGCTTTACAAAAAAATACTCTTGAGGAATAAAGGATTTTGGCAGCACTCTGTAAAAATATGGAATAAGTGAGACTTTATTACTAAAACAAATGTGTCCAGGCAAATACCCTTCTTCTGGGTATTTGTAAGATGGATAACTGAGACAAAAACAGGACTGAGGAAAAGATGATTTCTGTGATGAACTATAAAATGAACCCAGGGACCCTGTTTAACCGAGTTTTGTTTGTACAGCAGTTTCCATAATGATATTCCATAGGGTTGTTCACACAGTATGCGTTATTGCGACCAGAATGAGTAAGACAGAGCACAATGGAACAGATCGCAGTGGTATCAAGATGTACTTTTAAAAGTTCAACTTTTAATTTGACACGTTTTAACATAGGCACTGATGGTGTGAGACGCTGATAAAGTTGTAAGATACATTGCAATGTCAAAGACATCCATTAGTACATATTAGAGCCATGCGCGGGACTGTTTTCTTCATCCCGCTCGCCGAATTTCTGACCATTACCGCCCGCTCCCGCAACGTATGTGTTACACTCCCGCCCGCTCCCGTAAAATGTATGTCCACTCCCGCCCGCACCCGCAAAACTCTGAGAATTTATTCCCACACAATAATAGAGATACATTGATTTTGTGTCTTCTCCCGTCCCGCAGGAAAAAACACGTATTTTTATTGCTATTATTAAAGAGATTCATGGGGTTGTTTGTTTCGTTTCCCTGGCCTGCATGTATTCTGACGCACTGATCAGGAAGATGAATAGTAGCCTGGCTAGGCTATTGGGGACATCTAAAACGCTTAGGCTCCCGTGCGTTTTTTTTTTTTTTTTTTAGCCGCCCATTCCCGCCCGCAGCAAAGTTCAAACCTCCCGCTCCCACAAGATTTGCGTTGGGTCCCGGCGGGACTCAATCCCAATGCAGCTCTCTAGTACATATTTCCAAAGAAATACAACCAACACAGCTGGAAAAAAGAACTAGTTTGATTTAGCTTTTTAGCTGCAAAATGGGCTGACGTCTTTGACTGTAACGGCACGTCTTGCTGCTTTTTCAGTGTCTCGTTCATGAGCGCCTTATTTTTAAGATGGCATGTCAAGATCCTTGGTTCTTTCCAATGATCAGTACTGCGCCTCAAAGTTTTAAATGCAAAAAAAAAAAAGTGTGAACAACCCCTAATTCTGCCAGTTCTAATGTAGTGGAACTGCTAGGATTTAGTATTTGACAACCAGCATGACTGATGTTAGCAGAGTCAAACCCAATGAAAACAAGAACACGGATTAAATGTTCATGTGCTACACTTGTCGGTGACATCATAACAGTGATACTGACTTCGTAAAAACATCCGAGGAACCCAAGGGTATCAGAACAGTCTGGAAGCCATTCTGGAAGCTCTATGAATTATTGCTATTAACAACACATGAAGAGCCAATTGGCTGGAACAGTAGAGGATCACAGCTGTCCATACATCACATCAAAGCTAAAAGAGGATGATGAAATGAACCCTGGGAACAGTAAGTAGACTGTATAGAGTGTGGAGCTGTATTACTCAGATGGGTGGGGAAAGGATAGGGAGCCATTGGGATCACCATAGAGCAGTGGTGGTACTAAGCTACAACCAAATCAAGAACAAAGTTGACAAAATCCACATTTAAAAACTAATTACATTAACCTAAGCTTAGTTAACCGGTTATCCTAGCTATTGACAGCTCTAGTGCGAGTGCTAATCTACAATGCGAGAAATCTGACAGCTCAGAGGAGCAAACCATTTATACTGAAAACTGTTGTAACAACTGACAAAAATGTTAATATTTACATTTATTCATTTGGCAGACTCTTGCCTTTTCCAAACGTGAAAGTCAAATATACACGTCAAAATACACACAGATTGTGGGAGTCGAAGTCCCTGGGAATCGAACCCATGACCTTGGCATTGGTAGCGCAACACATTACTAACTAAGCTACAGGAATTAAAAACCAGTTAAATGAGATAGACAAAAATGTTATGTTAATCAAAAGCAGAATTGCACATCTTGTGTAGCCCACAAGCAATCACATACCTTAACTGTCTATTATTATTTATTAGTGACGGTGAAAGGTCAAGAGACTGCATAATGGAGACAAATGCAGCCCTCCGTTTTATGGCTGAAGGGAGAGAGAGAAAAATAAGCAAATTAGAAGGCAAGAGTTTTCCTCTCAATCCCTCAGGTTAGCATCTGAACTACTATGTCCTGAATTGTTCGGTTTTGGCATCGGCCGACATTTTCACATCTGTTCTGGATATGTTAGCTGCCCATTACTACGCCCAAGACAAAATATTTTGAATTGTTTTTCCTGTGTGATTGTGAAAAATGACAGGAGGGAATCCAGTTGACTTAGTGTCCATTGATAGTTAGAGATAATTAGGTTGAGTAAGTCAGGTCCCTGAAGCAGAGAGTGAGAGAAAGTGATGAAAATGAAGACAGACACAAATGGAGACAAATCATCAGGTTTCTGGACAGCACAAGATCTTCTTTTCCCATGAAGTCAGGTTCAAGGCCAGGTGTCTTGTTTGGCAGACCAGCCAAAAGGACGATTATGTATGTGACCCACTTTCTCCACTATAGCCCAGACTTTTCCTTAAAACCTTGTCTTACACAATTCTCACTTTCTAATCTCTTCACTCCACACATCATGCTTCTCAAAGTCTGTATCCTGCAGTGTCAAATTGCTCCAGCGTGTATGATTATTTCAGAGCCGATTAGGCTGCGTTCGGCTGTGGCTTTCATTTCACTTTATGCTTTGAAAGACAGAGCCAGCCGTTTTGAAACCCACCCCTAAGCATAGGTTAGCTTAAGATTACTGACTACATTCAGTTAGAACCAGACGGTAGAGCCTTCAAGCAAACAAAATAAAAAGTTATATTAAACAAAGTTATAAAATAAAGCAACTGAGGAAGAGAGCAGAATAAAAACTCTATAGAGGCCACTGACCTGGTTCAGTTTAACAAGTAAAGGAAAGGGAAACTGCTTACAGCCTACAGTATATAAGGGCCCGATTGGCATTAAAAAGTCTGGTTCTTTCGGACAAGAAACCGATTCACAGATTCCAAAATGTTCCAATATCAAATGTTGTGCTTATGGGTCATAGTAACACTCTTATATAACTCTCATTCAAATTAAAATGTCAGCAACATTCTTAGAGAGACAATACTGTGTTCCAGAGGAGCTGATGTTGGAGAGACAGTTTCACCTTGTATGTGGAACTGTATTGGATCTGCAGACACCTCAGACGCAACAGCTCAGATGGCAGAATTGCTGACTGAAAAATGTGTGTCTGTATAAACAGGGAGGGGAACCCGGAGCGAGCACATCTAGGTGTTGATGAAAAGCAGAGCTCAGCATGGAGGGAAAGGTGATACTGGGATTATAGGAGCCTAACGCAGCTCCCGGAGAGTACTGCTATGCCAAAGACTGAAGACTGAAGACATGCTGGGATGCGCAGAGTGGGAGATTGTTAAATACTGAACTCTTTAAAGTGGGATACACAGCAGGATGTAAGAGCACCTAGGAATGTGATCCACTGAACCCTGTAGAGAAGGGGGTAGTAAGTTACAGAGCAGGAGTTACAAGGGTGGGAGAATGGTTATAGTCCACACTGAAGATGGGTTTTGTGTACAAAATGCCATGGTGATGACATCAGAGGAGTGATGATCTGTTAGCAAGGGATGTGAAACATCTGGATATGGGCATGTGTTAGTGGAGGATAAGAAGCATTCAATGTGTGTTTGATTTAAGTGTCTGAGACAAGACTGAATAGCACCAGGGTGCCTGTGAGAACAGAAGGAGTAAAGGTTGTACAACATGCAGAACTGCTAATACACATACTTTTCATGGCAGCATTCCATTAAAACATTGAAAGAAACAAAAATACCCCGGCCTTGTCGATGTGTCTAGAACAGTACAATTTTATGCAAAAATCTTACTATAGCATGTGTATGACAAAACAAAAGTTTTAAAGGTAACTTGACGATGTGCAAGATTGCTGATTGGCGGCTGATTTTCTCTCTCTTTACAGGTGAATAATTGGATTTACCACTGTCCGGCGGTTGAGGAAGAGAAGAGTAAACAGAAGAAAAAAGCAAACAAAAAGTAGGTGAGGTGATAACAGAAGCAACCATGAGATGTGTAACATGGTGCATGGGCATTATTCTCTGCCTCTCCATCTGCTTGCTCAGCAAGTGCCACTCAGGAAATGAACTAATGCAATCTCGACAACGGCGAGCACCTGCCGATGACTCCAAGAAATGCTCCTACACTTTCCTGATGCCCCAGCAGAAGATCACAGGCCCGATCTGCGCCTCTGCTACTGGACCTGAACCAGACAAAGACCGGGTGACACGTATGGACATTGCTGATGTGCGGGAGGTCCTTTCCAAGCAGCGACGGGAGATTGAAATGCTGCAACTAGTGGCAGACGTGGATGGGAACTTGGTAAATGAGATGAAGCTTCTTCGCAAAGAGTCTCGTAACATGAATTCCAGAGTGACACAGCTCTACATGCAGCTGCTTCATGAAATCATCCGCAAGAGGGACAACTCCCTAGAACTGGCGCAGCTGGAGAACCGCATATTGAACGTCACCACGGAGATGCTCCGACTGGCCTCCCGTTACAAAGAGTTGGAGCTGCGTTTCGCAGGCCTTGCTGCCACAGTCAATAACCAATCGGTGCTCATCGCTGCCCTGGAGGAGCGCTGTCTCCGTGGATATGGACGTCAAGATCTGCCAGCCGTGCCTCCGCTGGTTCAGGTGGTACCGGAGAGTATTCCGGCCAACAACAACCGCTTCACCAATGAGATTCAGAGAGACAACAACAACCGAGCATTTCCTAGAGGATCACGAATGGACACCCCAACGCCCGACCCGCTGGGAATCCCACCACCCCCACAGGGCACCCTCACTTCAGATGGTAAGTGACAAGGGACAGGGAGAAAAAAATCACTTGAAATACGTGATCGAATTCTGGAAGCTCTTGATAAGTCAAGCCACGTGTTTCACAATCTTACCACAGAGTCAAAAAAAGACTTAGTGTATTGTCGGGTAGCAGTCAGGAGCCATTATCATTGTAGGCACTGAAAATTTTTGCAAAAGGTAGCTGCAAATGAGGCACTTATGACCAACCTTCTGAAACCTAAAATAAAAAATTGGACTTCTGTGCCACTAAAGATGTTGCTCACCCCTGATGGGACTACATGTTTCCAATGAGAGTGGCATTGAGATCTCATCCTCCTAAAGTATGAACACATAGCCAGGAACAGCTAGTGCACTGCTGTAATGCCAAAAGTTACTGAGACAAATCACAGAATCCTCTATTCTGCTCCTGCAGAATCCTCTCTGGCAGCCCATGAAAACAAAATATGAGCTCATGGATTCCTGAGCGCACACGTGAAAACATGCACTCACACTAGCCTCCTGGAAAAATCTGTAGATTTAAGAGGGTCAGAGGAGAGTGAAGTAGAGGAACTGGTAGTCTAAGCTGGACTGGGCTTCTGTATGTCTACTCTATAAATGCACCAAAATGTATCTGTCCAGTGAGGAGTGAAGATACACATAGGAACAAGAACATGCAACATAAAAGCAACAAGATGTCTTCAAGCACTTACTCAGCAAAAAAAAACAAAAAACAAAACATTTTCCCTTCTTCACACACATGCAAGATAGTTATGCCGCCTCTGTAACTTAAAAGCAATTTACATGACCATGTGTTCCAAGAAAACAGGTGCTACAAAAAATGGCCAAGCTGTTGTTATATACTTCAATCAAAGCATTAGACAGACAATGAGAAAAAAAAAGGGTGCCAGTGTAAGCAAGCACATCCCACTAGGTATACCACGGCTGCCATTATTTATGACTACTAAAAGACAGAGAGAGAGAGATACATACTTTGAGAGTACACATGATATTTCCATTCTTGAAAATGATGTTCTTGAAGACGTTTTACTGTACAAGACAAATAAATCAGACATGCCATTGTTGCATTGTTACAGCACTTTAAGCTAAGCTTAATGGCATAAACACCTGTGTAGCACTCAGCTTTACATCTTAAGTAGATGTACATTTTGCAAGGATTTAATTTTATTCACTCAGAAATGCAGGTTTGTCTGAGTTTGCTCTCACTCTTTCTGCCCTTCTTAGCAGTATAAGGTCGACATTTATGCTGCCACTTTCAAGACTACATCCCTGCTTGACAGGTTTTACAGCCATGTAACTGTCAGTAAAAGGCAAAACCATAAAACACAACTTTACTGCACACACAAAGGAATTCATTAAATTTGTAACTTGAGAGAGGTAAACCCATGCTTGCGACATGTATAGTTACCAGCGCAAGGGCATCAGCCCTGCTCCAAAACATAAGAGCTACCTGGATGTATAAAGCCTATATAGGGAGCTATCTTCTAAGACAACAGAACCTCATAAATGTCTGATTTAAAATGCTTTTTCAAACATGTGAAAAAGTGTTCCTTAAGTGATAATCGGCTAATTCTTATAGCTAATTTCAGCTGACATTAGCATGCTGCTAAGCTAATGACACTCAGAACAAGCTTTACTTTTATATACTGAATCTAATATAGAAATATGTTTATAATAAACATTTTCCTTGAACTTGGATCACAATTTCAGAGAGAGAGAGAAAAAAAATCAACAGAGATCGTCACAAAAGTAATTTGGGATTGTTTGCAATACGGCCTTATAATTTGGCCAAAACCAGGTATTTTTATGGCAGCGTCCTTTAGCCTTCACATAGAGAGCACAGATATGACACCTAAAAACGCTATCTAGGTGGGCAGCTCACCTGGTTTTGGAACATAGCCAAGAGAAAAAAAGAAAATTTCCCCCTCATGACATCCTTCAACACAATGGAAAACATCTACAATTCTCCAAAGAAGCACTTATACTTTGTAAGGCCAAATATGCAAGCCCGTGAAAGTGTGATATTGTGATTTTGGGCTACAGCCTTTAGTGATAAAGTCTTGAGTAGGTGTATACATATTACAACCATCAAACCTTTACAAACACAACCTCCAGTGGTAGGTCTCTCCAATTCCCGTCTCTTTCACATACCCACATTTCACAATAAACAATCTCTACTGCTTATCCAGCAGATCTTCAGTCTGAACCAAAGACTTAAACAATGATACAATCTCGAAGTTCCTGAAGCCAACGGCTCCAGAGTCCAGGCTCTCATGCGGCCAAGGCAACTCAATAGGGCCCGATTCTCTCGTGACTGACCACTAATGACAGCTCAGTATAGCCCACTTCACCTCAGAACACAGAGAATTACAACCGCAGCTGACCAAAGCAAAACACTCTTCTAACCTCTGGGGTTGTACAGAACAATTTTTTATTTTTTGGCCAATGAAGATGTATCATTACTGTTTAAAAACAGTAAAAAAAACAGTAGCTGCTCAGAGAGTAGTTTTGGATGACTCTAAGACTCAGTTCTGTTTGAGGGTCCTCTTGGACCCAAGCAGAGAAAACTCCCATTCCCCCCACTCTGCCGATGCCTGCCGCTCGAAGCCGCCGGCACAATGCCTGTCTGTATGAGCTCAATGGCTGTCATTCATGGACAGGCGGTCAGGGCCACACTGGGACCTGGCTGGTTAACACAGCTGTTTCAGCACAGCAAGAGCTACCGAAGAACTTCCTCTCAACACAGGAAAACTCCTCTTATAAAACACACCAACCATATCGCCCAAAAGGGTCTTTGGCAAAGGAGAATCTCGCTTTCTTCCTCTCTCATTCTACAAAGGGGAATCTCGCTTTCTTCCTCTCTCATTCTACATCTCTGGCTCACCCCTATATGACTGATAATGATTTTAGCTTCAGCTCAAGTATAGAGGAAAAAGAAAAATAAGCGGAAAATAACCGAAGGAAGAGGGAGTCGCAGAAGGACTGAGCTGGTGTCTGGGCATGGTAACTTCATCAGGACAAAGAAGGGTATTTATCTTTCAGCCAAATCTGAAGTGCTGGGAGATCCCAGGGCAGAAATGATGAGTCCAGAGACCAGGGAGAGCATTCAGTTAAGACAACAGTGTCTCTCTATGGTCAGGAAAACTCCCTAAACTGATTCGAGCCCTCTATATTAAGTGTCCAAAATATTTCAGGTCCGAATCCCGATCAAAGCCACCTAAACACAGAGGCACCGGAACCAGCCAGTACCTTTTACAGTGTTAAGGCCCATTTCAACAGGGGCAATAACTATTATCATCCCCACCAACAGATAACAGTTTATTATAAGCATGTGTTGCAGTTACATGGTCTGTTTCTTTAAATGCTCAAGCCCTTTAAAAGTTGGGTGTTCAAAGTTTGATAGGCTGTCAAATATTTTTATTGTTCATCAGCATGATGAAAATAGTTCCGAATGGGATTTCAATGTTATTATTCCTCTGTGACATTATTGTTATAGCTGCGGTGTGGACTTAAAGTTAACAAAAAGATAACAAAAAAAAGAGACATGCGCACCATGACGATATTCATTTAAAATACTGCTGATGATGAAAATATGACAGGAAAAAAACAACATAAGAAAAATCTATAGAGAATATGATTATTTTAAATATTCCAATTAGTCAATGTTGGGGATGACCCGCTTGAGCTGCACGAGATTAATCAGGTATACAGTATACACAACACAAGCATAATATTACAACAAAATAATGCGAATACACAAGTGAACCAGAACTAATTTACATGCTAGAAGGAATGTGCAAGTCACGTTGGGAATACAAATGGTCTATCAATGTATCTGCACTGGTCCAGATATTACACTGAAATGAGAAACCTAGTTTACTTTTCTCCTTGTCTTCCTCAGGCCCGTTCAGAGACTGTTTTCAGGTGCGGCAGGCGGGGCACAGCACCAGTGGGATGTATCTGTTGAAAACAGAGGGTAGTGATAGACTGATTCAGGCCTGGTGTGAACATAAATTAGACAATGGAGGCTGGACCGTTTTTCAGCGAAGGAAAGATGGCTCGGTCAACTTCTTCAGGAACTGGGAGAACTACAAGGTAAGGGCCCAGAACACACAGACCAGAGCATGCTGCAAAAACTAAGAAACGAATAAGCAGTAAAGTCCTCTTTTTTTCCTAACTCTTTATTCAACTTTAGAAAGTCTAAACATCTGATAAGAATCAGGGAAATAGGGCAACCTCTGGAGACAGTCTCAGTGTCTGCTCCACATCCCTGTTATGTGAGTGTGTACGTGTAAGTGAACGTGTGAGATAGATGGAATGTGCGATGAGATTACCAGTAAGGCCCATTAGTGATTTACTAGTTCAGTTCTCAAGAATTTTCAGTTATATAGATTTGTTATATCAGGGATTTAGGTTATCAACCATTACATGAAAATAAGTAAAGACTAATATCAATATCAGCTGAGAAGTTTGATAATATTAGTGCATGGTAATAGATCATTGGTAAGAAATAAAACATCTAAGCTATGTATTCCACAACACGTTTTCTACAGCATTAGTGCTGAACAGGAAAAGACATTTCACCTTTAGTTGGGGAAACCAAAGAACTATAGCTGTGATATATAGGAGGCTTGTAGACCCAAAGAACATAATTCATTCTCTTTCCAGGAGCAATGGCCCTAAAATGTCCATTTTCCCCCTGTACACTGCTGAAATCGGTGGAAAAATCTAGTTATGCCTTTCTAAAGTAGCTCTCAAGTTCCCTGCAAAGTCTGGCTTGGGAGTGTGACTTCAACGGTTTTGTCAAAGTCGAGTGTTTACTTGCCAAATGAGTGAATTGTAAGTCCAGAGTTGAAGGCCTCGTACAGAAAAATACCTCAAATCCTCCTCACTGACACAAATGAAATGAAAACAAGTAAAATAACTGCGCAGCCGGGGGAACACACATAAATCCACTAAGCGCACTCAAGACTTAGATTAACTATTTCCATTGGAGAAAAGATCAAACTTCTCTCTCACATACTCCGTCTCTATTACGGTTTCTCTTATTTCCTCCCTTCTTCTCCCACACAGAAAGGCTTTGGGAACATAGATGGAGAGCACTGGCTGGGCTTGGAGAACATCTATAACCTAGCCAAGCAGGGGGACTACAAATTGCTGGTGGAGCTGGAGGACTGGGTTGGGAAGAAGGTCTATGCAGAGTACAGCAGTTTCCATCTGGAGTCTGAAAGTGAGGCCTTCAGGTTGAGACTGGGCACCTACCAGGGCAATGCCGGAGACTCCCTCACAAGCCACAATGGAAAACCCTTCACAACGCTCGATCGGGATAAAGACGCCTTTACAGGTCAGATGCTAACAGCCAGTTAAGAACAGTACGATTGCATAATTCTTTTTTTTTTTTAAATCATAGGCATATATTATAACTGGATATTTGTCTGCAAGGTTTATAAAACCCTGAAAAGGCATTTTCTTAACTTTCAGGCACGGTTTTGTCAAGCGATCATTCTAATTATCATTCCAAATGTCATACGACCCTGACAGCTCCAAAGCTAATAATGTCCCACTAAAGATTTGATTGCCAATGATGCTTGATTCGTTTTATCGGGGACACACCAAGAAACTGTACTCGAGTTGACAAGGGTTGTCTGGAATTGGTTCTGACATGAGCAAAAGCTTTGAAAAAGGGTTGTCATTCTTATTGCATTCTCTTCTCCATATTCTTCTATCACAGGCAACTGCGCTCATTTCCACAAAGGCGGCTGGTGGTACAACGCGTGTGGTCAAACCAATCTGAACGGCGTGTGGTACTCCGGTGGTGTGTATCGCAGCAAGTTCCAAGATGGGATCTTCTGGGCGGAGTATGGAGGCGGGTTCTACTCGCTCAAATCAGTCCGCATGATGATCCGGCCAATAGACTGAGGTTCACCCCAGGACCTCACCCTCATATCACATGAGTCTAAATTGCTTGAATGTACTCATAACTCACTTCAGCACTTATTTATAATCACACATTTATGTTTATGAGGACTGACATGTATAACACAGTATAGTCGTCATTGGTAACAACAGCATTACAAATCGTGAAAAGGAGTTAAAGGACATGCGTTTATCCAGACTTGAACACTGACGCCCTTTGGTCTGTTGAACAGTCCATCGAAATTCAGAGAAGACGACGTAAAGAGTCGGATGACAACTTGGTCAACTTCATGATCTCCTGCTCTTCTCCATCTCCTAAATTTTTCCTTTACTGTTTTACTTCTTACATTCTTCTCCACTGCAATGTCTTCATTGGTGTCTGTTCCTTCTGACTCTCCCTCATTGCTTGGACTGACGACTTCAATGCCTCAATCGCAAGCTTTAATCAAAGATCTTTGGCCTCTTGCTTTGGAGGCTTGTCTGTAACAGGACTAGCACTGGGCTGAACTGTTCACCAGGCCCCGTCTGCATTCGGGGGTAATGTTGGTCTGTAAATATACTTCATGTTTTATAGTTGTTTGTTTTTGTAAGAGTTAATTTAAGGACTCACCTCCAATCCGCAGTATTCATTTGTTATTTATATATCAGTGATCTGTATTTATTACAGTTATAATCCTCCAATCATCTATTTAACCCCGATTATGATGTACCATTGTGCTTTTGACAAACTTTTGTATACTTTTACCAAAAGAGAGAGAATATTGCATCCAGGGTTGTAACCACCATGTAAATTGAAAGGGACATGACCCCCAACTTCCAGCTTAGAGGTCGATCAATATGCGTTTTTCAATGTCTAAATCTTAAATTCAATGTTATTTCGTCCACAACATAATATATTTTCAAGTGAAACAAGATACTCAACAAGAAAAAAACAGGGAACGACTTGATTTATTTTAGTGGGAGTTGATTGGACTGTGAAAAGTGGACGTTAAATACCATAATGGAGCCAAACCAAATATGAGTTTGTTAAAACAGTTGGTTGAGATTATCCAACTGTTTTTGTGGCCTTATTTTTGTGGCCTCTGAGAGATAGAGTCGTTTCAGAGTATTATGAGCAAGCATTCAGAACTCTGGAATTGGCATCCTTTCAGTTAATGAGTTGAAATTTTAAGTGAATTGGTCATGCTTCACAGGAAGTGGAATTTATCGATCAAAAGTTAATTACATAAAGTATAAAACCCTTAAAAAGGCCTTTAGACTTATAACTTTCAGACAAGGCTTATTCAAGCAATCATTCAAAGTTTGTCTTGATGAATCTTCATTTTCTAGCTACACTTGTAGTTCTAATATATGGATTTCTTTGAATTTCAAATCATATTAATTTTACTTCTTAAAATTCGAATTGCAATTCTGCATAGTGTTTTTGCAACCTAAGTGAAAGCAGAAGTAAATAGCAAAATTAGCACCAATTAAATAATGTGCACCAATAAATTGGTCACAATAAGACCATGAATGATAATTATGTAAGTAAATGTGGTCCATTTTGATTTCATGTTGACTTTTTCATTTGGTCTACCTTCATTATTTGGTTACACCACTTACTGGCTCACAAACTAGAAAGAAAGAAAAAAAACGTTGAACTTTGGCGAATTTATGCTAGACTTCCCTTATAAAACACACAAAATGATTTACTCCATCGACAGGGGGACGGACACACTTATGCCCGGATATAATTTTGGTAAGAATGAAATGAAATGCATTTTTGTTTAAATGATCTCTGAATCCACTCTTAACGCTGCAACACTGAATAAAACAGCGTCCAAAAGTCTGAGTGAACCATTTTTTCGTACAGTATACTGTATATGGAGTCACAGCTGGCTTTTCAATTACCGGTACACCATTGACTTTTCTGCAGTATGAGCAGGAGTGTGTGTGCGAGAGTGTTCAGAAACAGAGATTTCATGTCAAAAGTATGCAGACATGTGAAAATGGGAGGACTACAGCACATAGAGACAATGAAAAACACATTTCAGCCGTCCAGTCACGAATGGAGGCGAGAGAGACCGAGACCGAGAGGAGAGAGAGAGAAAAAGAGGGATCCAGAGGGAGGGAGAGAGAGATGGAGACAAAAGAGCAAGACATTCCTTCCATATAAAGTGCTTAGGTTACAGCCCCACAAAAGTGTATTTCATAAAAGTTATGCCTCCCTGTTCCCGGTTTCCCCAGCGGGACTATCTTTCAAACCGTCCTGGATCACTCACAGCCAAGCATCAAATTCTATCGGGAGAACACGGACACACACACACTTAAGAGAGGAGAGAGAGACACTGGCAGATGAAGTTCTGCGAGCGGCCTGCACTCTTCTGTCTGTTTCCCAGCATGCATCTCCTCACGGGACACCAATCACAGGCTTTCACAGTATCCTGCACGTGGCACATGAGAGTAAATACTCACGCTTATGGCGCTTTTCCACTGCTGGTACGGCTCGGTACGGCTCAGTACGGTTCGGCGCGGCACGGTTCGGCTCGCTTTTCCACTGCGTGGTACGACTCGCCTCAGCACGGCACGGCTCGGTTCGCTTTTCCACTGCAGTTAGTACCGCTTCAAAGTGGGTGGGATTATAGTCTGATCGTTATAGTTTATCCGCTCCTCGGCAACCAACGAGAGGAACGTTTACACTTCGTCCACTGACCATGATTCAGCCATTTCTTTTTTGGAAGTTTTCTTTCTTTCTTTTTTCTTCAAGCTTGGAACCTCAACAGAGGTGGTACCATTTAAAGCGTGCCGTACCGAGTCGTACCGTACCATGCAGTGGAAAAGTGCCAAAGCGTGCCGTACCGAACCGTGCCGTACCATGCAGTGGAAAAGCGCCAAAGCGTGCCATACCGAACCGTGCCGTACCATGCAGTGGAAAAGCGCCAAAGCGTGCCGTACCGAACCGTGCCGTACCATGCAGTGGAAAAGCGCCAAAGCGTGCCGTACCGAACCGTGCTGTACCATGCAGTGGAAAAGCGCCATTAGACAACAAGTGCAGTCTCCATCAGAATGTAATTTTGTTTTGGTGAATACAGAGGCTGACGGTCAATAAAATCATCAACCGTGATGATTTGTGGTAAAAAAAAAAAGAAAAAAAAAAGTGGTAAATGTAAGTTTTGGCGTGTCACGTGCTCTTAGCTTCAGAAATGTCATGCAGGGCGATTCACGTGTCCCAGAAGTCATTCTTTACTAAATTAATCTGAAATCATGAATCGGTTTGATCCAAATCAGACTAAAACTATAAAAACACTTGTTTTAATGAAGCTAAAATAAAACCTAAACAGATTAAACTAAATGAAAATGAGAAATGTCGTCTTGGCAACTGAAATAAGTTTAAGTTGAAGCACTAAAATTACTAACTGGAAATAAATACAAACTAAAACTGAAATAAATAAATAAATAAACCTAAAAAGTAATACTTAAAATTAAACACCAACAAAAATGACAAAAACGCATAACGAAATTACAACAAAAAAAATTCTTAAAAATGTAAAAATGCTAAAAGTTTTCTGTGATGGGTATGTTTAGGGGTAGGGTTAGTGTAAGGGGGTAGAATATACAGTTTGTACAGAATAAAAATCATTATGTCTATGGAAAGTCCCCATAAAACATGAAAACACAATGTGTGTGCGCTGTGGTTGTCTGGTGGCCAGTGGTAAAACTGAGCACCTGTCAGCTCCACTGGAAAGATATTACAACCGTTTAGCCAGGAACAGGAAGGTCAAATTACACACACACACACACACACACACACACACACACACACACACACACACACACACACACACACACACACACACACACACACACACGTTTACTTAAATGAGGACCACAGATGTCTCTTACACTTAATATATTCAAATTATGAATACTAAAAACTAATCGAAAACCAATTACCTTTTTAGAAACCCCTCCAAAAAATTCACTTTTTCAATTTTCCAATTGAAGACCATGCCAGATGTTGCCAATAGGAAGCTGTATCAGAATTGGGGGGACATTTCCATCCTCAAAGCGCACACACACAGCAGACAATGGTTTAGATCAGTGAATATTCACAAGGCTCACAGACTCAGTCTACACACACACACGTGCATCCAGCTGGAAGCTTCAATCTGATCCTGTGTTTTCAGTAGAAAAATCCGGTTATAACAAAACACACAAACCATTTGGACACTGACCCGATCCTTTACCTCATCTTCCTCTCAAAAGCCTTCCAGCCAGTTTCTCACATTCAGACTGTGATAAAGCCGTCTGGATGTGTTCAGAGCCCACCCCTCACCCGAGCGCTTTCATTACACACCACAAATCACTGACTCTGATTGCCAAAGCAGAAGTGAGAAGACCAAAGGGAGAATCACCGACAATGAGTTAGGGTCGCTTCTATACAGTCTGTGGAGCTTTAGCACCAGACTCACTAAAAGAAGTCTGAAGATTACGCACATCATTTGCATGGGACAACACATCTTGCAAGCCAGTCCTGAGTGCTAGGTTGTGGCAGATGCAGATGAAGACTACCATGAATTTGCTGGAACTGTACAACATCAACCCAGGCACCTTCACTAGATCCTGTGACACATCCAGCTCTGGCTCCAGCTTCATATCCTACTCAAAATGACTCACAATTCAAGAAGACAATTTAATCTTTATAACCAACACATTAATGTGATGAATTATTAAATAAACATATATGTGTCACGCTTGGTTGCTGTTAGTAATCGTACAACGAACATTAATAAACGAGGAAACTAACTAGGAAATCAGGTAAACAGGAACGGATCTGACAGAGTGAAAATGACACTGAACATAATCGTGAAACAGTGAAAAACTGAACATAGGCTAATCGTTACAATTTGACAAGTATTATAAATTATAACTAGATGGCATATGTATGTAACTAGATGTAAATGTGTGGCGTTTACATTAGGGCTGCCCTCAACTAAAGATTTTTCTAGGTATTCCCCCCATTTTCAAAAATGAAATTCAGGCCCTGAATGAATGTCTGTAAAAATTGTGATTGGAGCATCCATATAAATAATTCTACATGATTAAAAGTATGCTTCAAATAGATCGGTATCGGTGATCGTATCGGCACATACTGTTCGACTCCAAAATTCCTGATCGGAGCACCCTTACCCTTAACAGTTTCGAAACCGGTACTCTTATCTGCATGACCAAAAACAACAGAGTTTTTCAAGTTCTTTCCGCTTTTATAAGGAAGAAATTCAAGTTATAGTGCCGGCACCTCCGGGTTAGTCCGCACGAACACTTGGATATGCACCAATAATAGCGCACATTTATCCAGGCTACTACTTGCATGTTTCAAATGATAAGCCATAGTTAGGTTGATGATTGATCGGCTGGATTTCCTGCCTAAAATACTGTAATTACCACATGGATCAGCCATGTTACGAACGTTTGGTCGACTATTAGGGGGCAGCTCTAGTTTATATAAATATGTATCTTCTTTGTGTTTTTAGCACACTTCCACTGTTCTGTTGGTAGGGGGACATGGGTGAAAGAACATCCAGCGGGTCAAAATGAACAGTTTGATTAGTACGGCCAAGTCTGAAGAACACAAGAGATCCTCCAGTTCTCTGCCTTAAATTCCTCCATCTTTTCTTTGAGGAAAGTGACTGGCAGTTCTTTATTGCAGTTTAGACCTCAAGTTGTACAAGACAGCAGTATTTTCCTCTCTGCGTTCCAGAGAGCTTGGGAGTCCTCCAGCCCCGTAGCAAACACATCAGGGCACACATATAAACACACAGTCAGTCTTGGTTCTGTTCATTTAAAGTTCATTTATGGGATAATTCACCCAAAAATTATCATCATTTACACCTCATGTCATTCCAAACCTGTATGACTTTCTTCTGCAGAACTTGTAAGATATATATATATATACTATATATATATATATAAAAAATGTCTCATTTGTTTTGACCATTCAATGAAAGTCAATGGTGTCCAAAACAACACTGGACCCTATTTACTTTCACTGTATGGTGGTGGGAATGCAGAATGCAGACAAGTGGTGAAAATCAAGCTTTTGATGTTGTTTATATGTCTATATGGTGTTTTTAATATGCTTTAAGACAAATCATGTGTAAATTCATAAGTCAACACAACACCATTGCTGAGTATTTTCTCTTTAAAACTGCAGTGAACGAAAGACAGTCTCAAAATTGTGGTTTGAAATCGCTGGTGTTTCTGACGTCACAAACTACCTTGTAACCAATCAGGTAAACGAGTGGATCTCTGAGCTGGTGTGAGTGAGTGGAGGCGCGGCTCATTTGCATATTCATAGAACCATTTATACTAAATGAGGCAAGGGTGTAGAGTTACAGTCAAGCTATTTTAAGGCATGATGAATTTGACAAAACAACGGAAGGGTTAAAATATCATCTTCTGTGATCTTTTGTGTTGTGTGTGAGTAAATGATCAATTAATTTTGAACTTAAGGCATAACAACATTACAACGTAGACTATGAAATTCAGATATCAGTCGATAACCAATATGGTTCAGATATATTGTGCATCCTTAGATGTCAATTTAATACACTAACCAAGTCACCTAGGCCAGAGGTCTTCAACCATGCTCCTGGAGACCCATTGCCTTGCAAAGTTTATATCCAACCTGATTTTCAAGCGATCCTGAAGAGCTTGATTAGCTGGTTCAGGAGTGTTTGATATTGGTTAGAGGTGTTTCTGCAGGACAGAGCAGTGCAGGTCCCCAGGAGCAGGTTTGAAGACCTCGGACCTAAACATATTTGGAGAGAACACATTGGAGAGAGGCAGAGCGAAGGAAAGCTTGTAAATATCTCTCACACTATGACTGCACACCGGCTCTGATTTATTCATTCCAATCCTCACTTATACGGTTTCATAATCAAGCATATCTATAAGAACTGTGCCAAAAAGATACAAGAAATCAGCCTCGTCTAAGAAGAATTTGACGAAAGTAAAGAGTCCAAACACGCGCATTTTTCAGGTCACTCAAAATAAATGGTTTCCAATTCGCTCAAGACACAGTTTGTGCTGCCAGTTTAAAAAAAAGAAAGAAGAGAAGTAAAAGAAAAACACTGAAAAAAGGGAAGAAGTTTTTAGCTTTAGCCGATGCATGTGTGGTTAATGGCTCAGCAGCGTCTCCCATTGCCCATCTGAGCTCTAAACGCCCTGAATAAAGCAGGACTGGGACAGTGTTCAGATGATGATGTAACTCCAACACGTAGATACAGGGCATAACTGCTAATGATGATGCCAGTCTTATATAAGAGTATTATAAGTATGGCACTAAGCAACAGAAATGTTTGTAATGGAGTGCATGAATGAACATGTTTTGATAACCTTGTAGGGATGAAATTTAACTAAAGCATCTTTATACTACAAAGGCAGCACACTATATAACTTTTTTTATTTTAAACATTGATAAGACATGGCATCAAATCATCACATTAGACTGATTTCTGAAGGATCATGTGACACTGAAGACTGGAGTAATGATACTGAAATTCAGCTTTGCATCACATGGATAAATTACATGTTAAAACAGTCAAATAGAAAGCATTTTTAATTGTAATATTATTTTCACAATTTTACAGTTTTTTTTTTTGATCAATGATGACTTTCATTAGTTTCTATGGTTTCTGATTTGTTGTTCATTTAGTTACCTTGTTATATCTGTGTATTTTTACCCTTAGTTTCCTTTGTTCTGTGTCATCTTAGTTTTACTTGATTGAGGTTTATAGCTTTTCCTGTGTTCTCCTGCGTACCTTGAATATTCTGATTAAAGACTTGGGGCCAGATTTACTAACAGCTTGCACCAGCACAAACCCTCTTTTGGCGTTGAAAAACTACAGTCAGGATTTACTAAAGACACGCAGAGAAAAATTAGCGCTGAAAAGCTGTAAACAGGTTTATTTTTGCGGCTGAGCTTATTATGCATTTGTAGGAGTTTCCCTTTCAGACACAAAATGTATGGGTGGAGACTGGAGAGTATTTAAATGAATCATGCAAGGTGATTTACTAAGGTTTGCAGTTTTGCACTAGTCAATTTACTGGTATTTGTGCCATTATTTAACGCCCCAAAAAAACTTGTCTTAAACCAGACGCTAATTTTGCGCTGCTCTTGGTAGATTGTGTTGGTCATTATTACGGCTGGGCGATAAAACAATAACAATAATTATCGAAATACAATTTTCCCCGATAAAACAATATCAAGAGATCTAAAAATGTTCGATGATGTTAATGCATCATCAAGGCACCGCACGGACTATTTATCCGCTCGGCTCAAAGTCTAAACAGAGCAGCGCGAGCTTACAGAGGCAGAGCAGACGCGTTTACTCGCTGATCGATCAGTCTCGGTCACGTGACCACTAAACAGAGCTGTGAGATCCAGTGAGAAGCGCATGAATTCAAGAACACAAATGTGCGAAGGTTTGCGAATATCTAAACAAGAAAAAACGGTTTAAAATGGGATAATTTAATTAAAAACGAATTAAAATGTCTGCAAGGCATAAGGTGTGTGAAGATGTTGTATTTATAATTGCATTATATTATTACGAACGGCAGATTGGAAAAGATCCTCCCCACAAGGCTATGTTTATGTGTGTTTCAAAAGAGAGAGCAAAGAAAAAAATACCCAGATACGGGATGCAGGATGTCATGCTCTGGCTGCTGATGAAATCTCTCAAGCGTTTATAGTTGTCTTCTTTAGACATCAGATATTCCAGCCTCTCAAACGTGGCCTTGTCCTTCCGACTTAAAAGCTGTGGGAAAGAGATCAAGAGAGAGCACACTTGTGACAAAAACAATAAACAAGTTCATTTACAGGTCTAGAACTACCTTTTTAGCTTGAACAGCATAAGGAATCATCTGGGTTTGTGTGTTTTATCAAGTCTGCATGTGTTTCTAGACACACAAACGTTTAGTAAATCATCTAAATGAACTCAATTCGGTCTGTAACAACAAATCTCAAGAGAGCCGGGTTTTAGTATCTGTGCTCATCATCTGTTTATCATAATCATTCACAGTTAGCGTGATCCTTGTTTGTTATCCATTCATCAACCACTTGGCAGAGCAATCGTAAATGCCGGGACAGGCGTAAAATATCTCCACCTGAACAAAACAAAAGGGAAATAAAACTAATGTTTAGTGTTTCGTAATGTTCTTAGCAAAAACAAAAGTGGGGGAAACAAAGACAGAAAAGAGAGATAAGATTAAATAAGAGCTCTGAAAAACAAAGGAAAATTTGATGGCGCAGAAATAAAATCCAGAGTCCTTCACAGGAAATTCAAACAAACTTTAAATTAAGAGCTACCTGACGTGACCTCTCACGCAAACACACTCACACTCCGTGGGCCCTATTTTAACGATCTGAAACGCAAGTGTCAAAGCGCAAAGCGCAAGTAACTTTGTGGGCGGATCCCGGCGCTGTTGCTATTTTCCCGGCGGGATAAATGCCTCTTGCGCCTGGCGCAAATCTAAAAGGGGTTGTTCCGAAGTAGCTTCATTATTCATAGGTGTGGTTTGGGCGTAACGTGAAATAAACCAATCAGAGCGTCATCTCACATTCCCTTTAAGAGCAGGCGCGCTTGTTCTAAAGCGGATTCCTATTATAACGGCGGATTTGCCAGGCGCGCGCCAGGAGCGGTTCACAGCCGAGGAGAGCAACGTTCTCGTCAGGGCCGTAAAACACAGAGAAGTGACATTGGGGATGGAGAAACCCACCCAAATTAACTTCTGTTAAACAGGCGTATGATAATTTGCGTAAATGTGTAAGCTTCATGTATGCTTTTACAATAAATTATCTATCTATCTATCTATCTATCTATCTATCTATCTATCTATCTATCTATCTATCTATCTATCTATCTTAGCCTAATAATGTATGATTTGCAAAAATGAAAACGGCTGCTTAGATGAGAGAATCAAAGTGTATGCGCGTTGTGCACACGCTACATTGATTATGGCCAAGCATGCGCCCTTAAAATAGCTTGATGAACAACGCGCAACGCGCCACTGACTTTAGACTAGTTTTTTTCTGGTCAGTGGCGCAATTGTTTTATAGAACAGCAAAATAACATGAGGGAAAGTTTGCGCCGGAACACGCCTCCTCTTTGCGCTGAACCGCCCCGGGGAGCGCAAGTGTATTTCTTAGTTAACAGACGTGCGTCTGTGGAGGGAAAAGTCCGCTTTGCGCGGGTGCAAAATAGGAATGATACATGCGTCAGTGTACAAAGTCATTTGCGCCGAGTGCAAGATAGGGCCCCAGTTCTCCAAAACCCTTCTGTTTGCAGGTCCGTGTGGGGATTCAATTTCTGCAAATGTCCCCAGAAAAATAGCAAAACCACTCTTCAGGAAGTTTGTAAAGGCTTTCGAAACAGATGCAGGAACAATTAAGGTGCATCATCTCGCTCTCCAAATAAGCGTCCCGTCTAGTTGCAGTGCAGAACTCCTCTGTCGCACGAAAACTAAAACTAAATAAAACCCAGAGAAACTGGTATTGTGATCTTCCATACTGTAGTCACAGCTGAAATCTTTGGACATACCGTGTGAATACTGTATGAATATTTTCGCCATATTCGTCACCGGTTTGTCACTTAATGTGTGACGCATTAAGAGTGAAGGAAAAGACCATTTGAAATCCGTTTTGAGCATCCAGACTGAGACGCATCTGTAAAATCTGATTGGAATTGTATTTCAAAAATCACCAATTCGATTGGGTGGGGGAGAAAAAAAAAAAAAACAGATTTCATGTGGGGTTTTTTTTTGCTGTCCAGACTATGAAAACCCCATCTACATAACATCTGTACAGGTCCTTCTAAAAAAATTAGCATATTGTGATAAAGTTAATTATTTTCCATAATGTAATAATAAAAATTAAACTTTCATATATTTTAGATTCATTGCACAACAACTGAAATATTTCAGGTCTTTTATTGTTTTAATACTGATGATTTTGGCATACAGCTCATGAAAACCCAAAATTCCTGTCTCAAAAAATTAGCACATTTCATCCGACCAATAAAAGAAGTGTTTTTAATACAACAAAAAAAAGTCAACCTTCAAATAATTATGTTCAGTTATGCACTCAATACTTGGTCGGGAATCCTTTTGCAGAAATGACTGCTTCAATGCGGCGTGGCATGGAGGCAATCAGCCTGTGGCACTGCTGAGGTGTTATGGAGGCCCAGGATGCTTCGATAGCGGCCTTAAGCTCATCCAGAGTGTTGGGTCTTGCGTCTCTCAACTTTCTCTTCACAATATCCCACAGATTCTCTATGGGGTTCAGGTCAGGAGAGTTAGCAGGTCAATTGAGCACAGTAATACCATGGTCAGTAAACCATTTACCAGTGGTTTTGGCACTGTGAGCAGGTGCCAGGTCGTGCTGAAAAATTAAATCTTCATCTCCATAAAGCTTTTCAGCAGATGGAAGCATGAAGTGCTCCAAAATCTCCTGATAGCTAGCTGCATTGACCCTGCCCTTGATAAAACACAGTGGACCAACACCAGCAGCTGACATGGCACCCCAGACCATCACTGACTGTGGGTACTTCACACTGGACTTCAGGCATTTTGGCATTTCCTTCTCCCCAGTCTTCCTCCAGACTCTGGCACCTTGATTTCCGAATGACATACAAAAATGAGCAACAGTCCAGTGCTGCTTCTCTGTAGCCCAGGTCAGGCGCTTCTGCCGCTGTTTCTGGTTCAAAAGTGGCTTGACCTGGGGAATGCGGCACCTGTAGCCCATTTCCTGCACACGCCTGTGCACGGTGGCTCTGGATGTTTCTACTCCAGACTCAGTCCACTGCTTCCGCAGGTCCCCCAAGGTCTGGAATCAGTCCTTCTCCACAATCTTCCTCAGGGTCCGGTCACCTCTTCTCGTTGTGCAGCGTTTTTTGCCACACTTTTTCCTTCCCACAGACTTCCTACTGAGGTGCCTTGATACAGCACTCTGGGAACAGCCTATTTGTTCAGAAATTTCTTTCTGTCTTACCCTCTTGCTTGAGGGTGTCAATGATGGCCTTCTGGACAGCAGTCAGGTCGGCAGTCTTACCCATGATTGCGGTTTTGAGTAATGAAACAGGCTGGGAGTTTTTAAAAGCCTCAGGAATCTTTTGCAGGTGTTTAGAGTTAATTAGTTGATTCAGATGATTAGGTTAATAACCCTTAACCCTTTTCATAATATGCTAATTTTTTGAGACAGGAATTTTGGGTTTTCATGAGCTGTATGCCAAAATCATAAGTATTAAAACAATAAAAGACCTGAAATATTTCAGTTGGTGTGCAATGAATCTAAAATATATGAAAGTTTAATTTTTATCATTACATTATGGAAAATAATGAACTTTATCACAATATGTTAATTTTTTGAGAAGGACCTGTATATGCAAAAAATAGGATTTTTGCTGTCAGTCTGAACATAGCCTAAATTTGATTAATTTATTATTAATTCGTTAGAATTGGTTAATTTTCTTTACAGTAAGTCTGAATGGGCAGACCAAAAATCACCACACTGAAAATATGGGATTCAATATCTAATTTAAACTTGTACATTTAGGTCAGTAGTCGCAATGAATTTGAGACATTAGACAAGTTTTTAATCCACTTTTTGCCCTGTTCTGTTATTGCCAAAGTGAAGTTTGCAAAAACGTCCTGTCTACAGTCCGTTTCTATCCAATTTGCCCTTAAACGGTAAAATGGTGTGCACAATGACATCATCCTTAAAAAATGTATAACAAACGTTTAGTGCATCACAAAAGAAATCTATCTATTTATTTATTTGTTAAGTGTTTCCAAAAAGTTTTTTTTCCACAACATTCTAAGAACTCAGACTTTTTGCACAAAAAAAAAGAAAGAAAAAAGATTGTGTCGATACTTGCAAAATGTTACCGGACACCAGCATTTCCATCAGCTACATTGGTAAACATTTTAACACGCTAAACCTTTTTATTGTTGATGTTGTTGTTCCCCCACCAAAAAAAAAACAACCTTGGATGGAAACGTGGCTATTCATCATCTAAATTCATTTGCACAGATTTCTGTTCTTCCACTGAAGCACAAGATGTTCTTTGGATCATTCTCAAATCATGCTGGTATTACAATATATAATGAAAAACGATTTTATTAATTTACAAAAATTGCCAAATAAAAGTATGTTGAGACTTTTGGAGCCCACGACATAGGATTGTGTGTGTTTGGCCATGTCTGAGGAAAGCTACTCTGAGGAGCCATGGAAAACATAGATCTGACAAAAAAAAAAAAAGCGGGGGAGAGGAATATTCCAGTTATGTAAAAGACTGAAAATGGTACACTAGAGACAGGATTGAGGAGGAGGAGGATGCTGGCTGTGACTGAAGACAAGACAAGGTTTCCAAAGGAGAGACAGATGCATAGAGCTGTTGGATAGCCTGATTCTTATACAAGTTCACCATGGTAACCATAGTTTCCCTCAAAATACTAATAAATACTGCTTGCACATGCAAAAGTCACCACCACAGTGCTAGGATGTTGTTGGTAGCTGCCAGGGCATTGTTATGGGGCTTCTAAAATGTTCAGAATTGCATATCAGGGCAATACTATGCGATCTATAAGCGGTTCTGAATGGTTTAAGTGCCTTCTATGAGGTTGCTAGGGTGTTTCAGGTGGTGGTTTCTTACTGGCCAAGGCCATTTAAACATCGAATAAATGACACACTTTTAATTTTAGCGTTTATGCTTTTACAGTAGCAACAATAAAAATGCACTAGCTATGACACTTTTATAAAACAGTCTCATAGAACAGTCTCATAAAAAAAGCAAAATATTTAACAAATGTCCAATGAAAACATGCTTGGTCAGCAGATTCTTATACATCAAAATGTAACATTTACAAGAGTGAGCAACTAAAGTTAAAACTCTTGAGGGTTTTTCTGAAGGAAACCTGCTAAAGAAAACTATGCTAATTATGCTAATGAATGTTAGCAACCCAAGTGAAGCACAGATGCTCATCTACAGATTTATTTGTGAGCAAACACGCTGTAAAGTAATAAAAACCCAAGGAACAGGTGTTCGTTTTATAGATAGTGGGCCCATTTTATAGTAGAAACAGACAAATGTTTTGAAAACCTCAGTATTAGCTTTAGCATTAGCAGTCTATTGATCTTAAAAGAAAATTAAGTGTTTAGTTCATAAGAATATTGTTAACATTAATCTTTCCCTTCTTAGAGAGAATATTCACTCAAACACTCAACATTTTTATGCTATTTTAATTAATTATAGAGGCATACAAAAAAATCATGACCACTATTGAGTGTGTTTAAATGAAGGGTGTCATGTTTGGGAATTGAAATGGTTGAATTCCAGTAAAGACTAAAAAGGGGGAAAACTAAACAGAGTTTCTTGTTGTTCATCAATCTGTGTATTGGAAAGTAACAGCTCAAGGTTTTGTAGTGATTCATCTGTTAGCAGTTTCCAGCGCTCATCAATAACTAACTGAGAGTGTGTTGGAGGCCTGGATAATTTCACAACCTGTAAACAACTTGAAAACTGAGTCGAAAGAAATCTGGACCCATGCAGCAGCTGGGTTGGACAAAATAATGAATAAACCAAGAACCCAACTGACCAAACAGACGCACAATGCTTTGAGATTTATATATATATATATATATATATATATATATATATATATATATATATATATGTAATACACACTCACACATATATATATATATATATATATATATATATATATATATATATATATATTGATGTAAGACGAGAGGGTATTTTTAAAAAAGCTAATAGTTTTCAAATAATTAGCAAATATGTGTTGGTGCTATCACATAACTTAAAGCATTTATATATAATGCATTATAAAAAAGCATTTTTAATGCACCTTATAATGCATTGCATTAAATCATGAATAATTGTAACCATAGTTATAATACATTATAATACTTATCTATTCATTGTTACACATTTAGAGAAAGTATAATTTTTTCAAACGCATAACAACATATTTCACAAGATGTAACAAGAAACCTGCAAATATTATAATGCATTTTAACTCTATGAAAATATTGATGCATTATAATGTACATTACGAATAAATGTATTATACATAAGGCCTTTAAGTGTTACCGTAAAATGTAGCTAGTAATATAAAAATATGGCAAATGGAGCATATTGAATAACTCACAGCCCAGGTCTTGGAGAGCCTGAAGATGGGGGCGCTCTGTAAAGCAGATACTACCGCCATCACAGCATGGAGATTATTCATGTCACATAGTTTCTGCAGGAAGAGAGAAAAAAGATTAACAACACATACAAATACAATCACTTAAGTAGAAGCACATATGTGCTGTATGGAGAGTTTTTACCTTTGCTGTTCTGATATAGAGGCTCACAACTTCTGCTCTGATCTTCAGGGTTTGAGCATGAAGAATCTCCCTCACCACCCAGAAACTCACCTAACATTAGACACAACCATAAGAGAGACATTGATAACTGATCAATACTGCCATAGACGAGACATTTTTCGGTACTGTGTAGACTATAGTCACATTTAAAATGTACATAACCTTTTTTCCACATGCGCAGAGACACTGCACCAGTGGGGTCATATGCATATAACAGCAAAATATCTGATTTAGAACAGATGAGAGTATTGTGAACTGTTCATCTGTTGTTGTTATCGTTAAATAGTTTTGACATCAAGTAGTAAACAGGAAGAGAAGAGACAAGACAAGAAGAAAACAAGTAGTGTAGAGGGATGAGACTTGAAGAGAAGAGACAAGATGAGGAGGGACAAAATGAAAAAAAAAAAACTTGGTGAGACAAGAGTAGAACGAGTGGAAAGAATGAAAATACGTGAACGAGAGAAACTGACATGAGAAGAGATGAGACAAGAGAACCAAAGAGAAGAGAACAAGAAGAGATTCAGGAAGAAAAGTGACAAGGCGAGAATAGAAGAGACAAGAGAATAAAGATGAGGTAAAAGGAATTGAGATAAGTAGAGACAATACAAGACGACAATGAGAGACGAGAACTGAAGAGAATGAGAGGAGAAGACAAGCATGAAAAAAAGGACAAGACGACAATGAGTGAGGAAAAGAGACACGGAGCAAATGCAATTAGAGGAGGTGAGACAAGATAAAGAGACATAGGAGACAAGTGAATGAGAGGAACAGAGGAGAAGAGACCATATGAGACAAGGGGAGAACATGTGGAGAAGAGGATGAGAGGAGATGAGACTGGAAACTGGAAGAAAAGCAACAAGGAAAGAATAGACTAAGAAGAGATTAGAAGAAAAGACAAATTGAGAGGAGTAGAGACGAGACACAAGATAGGACAAGAAAAAAAGAGAATGAGAGGAGAAAAGAAGAAAATTTATGAAAATTAGACTGGGGTGAGACGAGATTAAGAGGAGAACTGAAAAGATGAGGAGAGAATGAGAGGAACTGAAGACAGACAACATGAGACAAGAGGAGAAAGAGCAGAAAATAAACGAGAAGCAAAGAGAAGACAATGAGAGGAAATGAGACTGGAAACTGGTAGAAAAGCAACAAGGCGATAATATAAGAGGCAAGATAACAGACTAAAAGGAGACAAGAAGATCCAAGAGAGTGAGAGGAACTGAGATGAGAAGAGACGGTTAACACCACAAGAAGAGAATGAGAAGAGATGAGACTGGAATAGAAGAGACATGAAGAAAGCAAGACAAGACTAGATCAGAAAAAAAAAACAGAACAAGACAAAGTGATGAGACTGGAAGAAAAAAGACAAGATGAGAATAGTAAGGACAAGAAGAGAATTAACTCAAATGAGACAAGAAGAAAAACAAGATGGAGAGAGGAATTGAGACAAGACACAAGATGAGACTAAAGAAGAGCATGAAAGGAGAGGAGAAGCAAGGACAGGACACTGAGGGGAGATGAGACTGGAAGATAAAAGATGAGAGGAGGGCAAGAGACTGAGAAGAGACAAAAAAGAACAAGACTAGATGAGACAAAGAGAAGAGAGGAGACTGGAAGAGAAAAGACAAGACGAGAATACAAGAGAACTGACTAAAAGGAGACAAGAAAAACAAGAGGATGATTTGGATTAAGATAAGACAAGACGTGAACGTGAGGAGAAAAGAACAGAAGCAAATAAAGGAAAATAAGAGAAGATTAAACAGAAGAGACAGAAGGAGGGCACGAGACAAGACGAGACTGAGTGGAGACAAGAAGAGAAAACTGAAGGAAAAATGAACAGAGCGAGACAAGAAAAGAACTGAAGATGAGAAGAGACATAATAATTTAAGGTTCAGACGTTATGTAATTGCAGACATGGATTGTTGGAACATCACTCTTCATCTCTACCCTGCTCGATCTCCTCCAACCCCTGCCAACCTCATCCCATTTCCATTTCTCCTGTTGATTTTCCAGTTCCCCCCTTCTCCGTTCTTTCCCACATGTCTGATACTGGGACACACACACAATGAAGTCATTGTTTCACCATCTCCCCTGCTGTGTGTTCCCGCGTTTGTTGTTGCGAGATTGGATCGCAGCATCTCTGGATAAAGCCGGAATGCCTCAAACCAGTGGAAAAAAGGATTTAAATCTAATGAATAATGAAAAGGCAGCACAGCACTGCAAACCTTTATCCTCAAACACACAAGCACAGCGCACAAACTCCATCCCATTCACACCAGCAGTTGTATTACACACACCTGAACCTGCATTAAACACAAGGAGGAAATCTTTTTTTTTTTTTTTTTTTTTTTTTTTGAGCCTCTATATGTAAAACTTGTTCCCACATACTTCATTAAAGAATATTCCATCTGCACACTCCTCTCATTTATATAAATATATTTTTTTTTTTAAAAAGCCAACAGACCGTAGGCAGATTTCCCTGGCAAAATATAACCATATGTGCCTAATTTTGAACATCTGTTAGTGGGTAATCTGTAAGGTCTGTCTGTGTTTTTATACCTGAGTTTGCTTCTTTTATTTCCTACATTGAGTAGATGTATAAATGCACTCCATATTTGTGCAGGACAGACCAATTTGTTGGCTAAAACTGTTTGTGTGCGAGTCTTTGAAGAGGGGTGTATGGGGTCTAGCCGGAGAGAAAAAACTGAAAATTATGTATATTTATGGAGAGAGCAATTTCCAGTGTTTATAGCGATACAAACATTAACATTTCATTGTACACAATCACAGTGAACTACACAGTACAACTGAACCAAAGATATAACTGATTAAACTGCTGAACCCCCCACCTAGAATTAGGTTAATAAATCTAGAATTATCGCATTTTTTTAATTAATTATCGAGAGAGAGAGAGATGAGAGATTCGCACCTGTGTCTTTTCAGCATCTCTCTCTCTCTATTAACAATGAAGCTGAGAGTTTAATTACTTCAAAATAGTGACGTAACCCCTTCGTTGCTAAGAAAAATAATGTAGCGATTCAGTTATTTTATTACTGAAAGTCGTGGGGAAGAGTTGATAAGTTTCTGTGCTAAATAACTACTAAATGATGACTAAGCCATAACTTACATTATGAAAAAAGTATGCATTATCAACTAACAATTACATGACAAATCTACAGATGATCAGCTTACTAGTGAAATATAACAAAACAACTGGTGTAACAAAAACCACACAGCCCTCAAGCACTGACACACATATATAATATAATCTCACTTATAAACAAACAAAGTTTGCTGTTAGGTGACATTAGATTCCAGCTAACGTTGCAGGTCTGTTCTCGCCTATGCAAGCATCATCCTTCAGAAAGTACATTTGTGTTGGCAGGCGAGTGCGTGTGGGTTCCTGAACAGCCGTTTTAGCCATTTTGAGGATGTACATTGAGAAAAGTTTCCACCGAACACAAATTCCTCGATGATATTCTCATATTTACTACAGAGTGCTGGCCATATTATCAGGGAAGAGAGTGTGTTTAAGTCTTAAGGTGAAGATTTTGAGGTGTAAGAAACAACTTCTGCTTTGCTTATAAACTTTCTTCAATGATAATTCCCTTCTGGTTACACACTGTCAGCTTCTGCCAATAATGAAGCAATGATTGCACACAGAAACTTCAACACACTCAGAAGGGGCCACATATTTCTTCAAAGGCCAACTGGATCAAGTCAGTTTTCCCCCAACCCGGTGTGTTTCCAACATCCTTACTCAGACCTCAGTGCAGCGATAACCTCTTCAAACATCCCATTACCTGCTCACATTAGAGCCAAAATGTCAGTGCATGTCCAGTTTCCCCTGAAAGTCACTGTGACATATAATCACATTTATGCAGAGTGTGTTGTGTTAGCATAGAGTCCAAATTTTGTTAACAAGAACCTTGACAGCGACGTAATTTTCCATCCTAGCCAATCCAAGGCAATAAAGTCAAGTGATTTAGGCCAGAAACATACTCATTGGCAAACACAGGCGCTAATGCTCAGCCAGCACATTACAAGCATGCCAGCTTGGGAAGTTGAGCCACTACGGAGGCCTGCACCACTCGTGACCTGAACACTAACCCCGACCAACCCTTTTCTGCACTTTGATGCCTAATCCCTTTGAATTAGAACACAAAAATCCCTTGGAAACCTTGTTTTCCCTTTGAAATATTTACACTCATTTTATTTGAAACTAACCAACTCTTGAATGCATCTGGCCACAGAAGAAATAAACATGTTTCTTGTCGTAGTAAAACCTGCAGACCAAAGAGCTATCCGAGTATCATTTTGGTTGGAAAAAGTAGAGAAGTAACATTAGATACAGTAAGAAAAAAAACAATAATAAAAAGTGTATACTTTTATTAAGCAAGGACGCAATACATTGATCAAAAGTGACAGTAATAAGTTTTGCATTGTTACAAAAAAACTTTCTTTTTTTTTCAACATAGATAAGAAATGTGCATGAATGATTTCTGAAGGATCATGTGACACTGAAGACTGGAGTATTGATGCTGAAAATTCAGCTTTGACATCACTGGAATAAATTACATTTTAATATATATTCAAATAGAAAGCAGCTTAAACTATAATAATGCTTGGTAACACTTTACAATAAGGTTTGTAAGTTAACTACATTAGTTAGCATGAACTAATAATGAACTGCACTTATACAGCATTTATTAATCTTTGTTAATTTCAACATTTACTAATACTTTATTAAAATCTTGTTAATATTAGGTAATGCACTGTGAACTAACATGAACAAACAATGAACAGCTGTATTGTTATTAACTAACATTAACATAGATTAAAAATACAGTAATAAATGTATTGCTCATGGTTAGCTCATGTTAGTTTATACGTTAACTAATGAACCCTATTGTAAAGTGTTACCTAATATTTCACAATATTACGATTTTTTGCCTTATTTTCCCTAGTCTTCAAGTTTCTTCAAATCTTTTTTACCGTTTATTCATTGTCAGAAAAAATAAAATGTTATTTAACTGTCGACACATATGACTACAATGCACACTCCATTGACCCTTGCCAAAGTGCCAAAGTGCCAAAGGCCCGACACTACACACATTCGCTCAAACAGACGCTTAATTGCAGGTCCAATTTTGTGGATCAACCTCCTTAGCTGGAAGTCTACAGTTAATCCCTATGATTGTAAGTATCAAAGTAAGGGGACAAAATAAAAATAAAGTGTCTGTGGTTTACCTGGTTAAAGCGTCGTGTGAAGGCCACAGCGTTCGGCGCTGAACTGTGCTTCTCCTTCTTGTTCCAGCCACAACTAGAGAGCTCCTGAAAGAAGAAAAAAGTCACGTAAAACAATTGTTTTCCAGCTGGTTTGTGATTTGAGAAACTGGACGGAAACAATCGAGTCAACCAAGCACAACAGGAGAAAGCGAGTGGTCCACAGTGCCAAAAACAAATCAACTCCGGACACCTGAGATGGGGTGAGCATCGCTCATGACCAGTGACCCTAGAAAGCAGCAGTAATGGGGCTTCAACAACACAAGTTCGAATCTTTCCCCATCTATCACGCTTTATTCACTTAATTTTGCATCTAAACATACAAGTTATCTCAGACTTGGATGGCAATCGTCCGAAAATTGTGTTGATCCTCTGCCTCACTCACATGGTGCGAGTGATTGACTGAATGAGAATGGAAAAGCTTTTAAAATAATATTTAACAATGTGTATTGGGCAGCAACATCACTGGATAAACATCAATCTGACACGCTAAATCTCTAAGACACAAACATGAAAACTCAACTCTGACTGTTCTGTCATCTAAGAAAGGATCTGTTAGCTTCAAGATTAAAGCCGCCGTTACAGTCCAATATACGACATAATAGCCACGCTTGGAAATTCATATTTGGAAACTCCCGTCCATAATTATGCAACCATGCGTTATGCAATTACGCCAAGCGTTCAGACATTTTCCAGTAGAGAATCCGTTTCAAATAAGCTCTTAGCGCCATTAAAACACAAAAACAAACTTTGAAATGCATTCAACCACACAGAGAGATTTAATTCCTGTCAGTAAATGGGAGAAGAGCTGCCTGATTTCGTAATGGGACTTCAGGAAGAGTGAACGTAACCATCAAACATATTCATCACGATTGTACGTCAGGAATGTACCCAACTAAAACTCAGCACCAATACAACCGCAATCTCTCATGAGGTCGCACTAGCAAACAGTGACCTAATGAGTCTGCAACCTGTGGAGGTAGCAGCTTAGCAACATACACAAACACAGATGTGAGCATATGGGCCAACACACACACAGCTAAATAAGTGTGCTTTCTGCATTGTGTCTCTCCAGCACCAACAACCATCAAGAAATGCCAATGAAATCACCTCTGCTGAATCAATTTCTCCATGTGTTACAAATCTGCCGAAATAGAGCTTGAGCCCCCAACTTCAGAATCGGTGATGAGGAAAATCACCTGCTGAGATTTAATGAAATCAATTGCTACCCAACTCAGAGAACAAAACAAGGTTAATGACTGATTTATGTTCTTCTTCTGTGATGTAATGCATTTCTGAGACCAAGGTAGACCTGAACTGAACAGTGCCTTTATTAAATTTAGCTGAACGTAATTGGTCCAGCTGGCCAGTTGTCAAGGTTACTGTTGAGTTCTTCAAAACAGTGACAGGCTCCAGATGGTGGTAGTGTAGCCTAATGGTAATATTTGGACTTGTAAGCAAAAAAGTTGAAGGCTACAACTCCAAAAGAGGGATCTTCCCCACAAACAACACTGTTTTATTGCATTGCTTAATCCATATTGTATGCTAAAATTGCAAGAGCCTTCTCAAAATCTTACGGACAACATGCAAGGAAGATCCAGTTGCTGGATTTGCCAAAGTTTGCAAAGATAATGGCATCAAATCTTAGAATTGTATACATTTAATACGGATCTTCGGAATGTTCTTCTTTGTTCTCAGGGGCCAGTTGCATAAACATAGTCATTATGTTAAGACTGGGTCTTAAGAACTAGTATGGTAAATCGACTGCATTTATATAGCGCTTTCACAGACCCAATGGCCGCCAAAGCGCTTTACATTTGCCTCACATTCACCCATTCACTCACTCATTCATACACCGACGGGCGACGGCAGCCATGCAAGGTCGGGAGCAGCTGGGGTTAGGTGTCATGCTCATGGACACCTCGACACTTGGTCAGGTGGAACCGGGGATTGAACCACCAACCTTCTGGTTTGTAGACAACCTACATGAACCACTGAGCCACTGCCACCCCAACCAACTAGCAGTTAGTTAGGGGTAATCAGTCTTACTTTTTAGTGATAGAGCCAATTCAGTGGATGGGGATTATTGGGAGGCCATAATTGATAAAGGCCAAAGGAGAATTTGGCAAGGATACCAGAGTTTCACCCATCCTCTTTACCAGAAGTGCCAAGGGATTTTTAATGGATTACAGAGAGTTGGGACCTCAGTTTAACATCTCATCTGAAGGACGTTGCTCGTTTCACTATAGCTGGGTTTCAGTCACGTGATTATGATGACGCGCGAAATTCAGATGGAGGGCAGGGAGTGAAGAGCGCAATGGACGAGATGGAGGAAAGTCCGTACTGTACTACTTTACATGCTATTACAAGAGAAAGATATCAAAAAAATCAAACATATGTTGGCCGCGACCCTTACGTATAAAGAGGAGCGATTTTTCAACTGAATTGAAAGATTTTCCTGCCATCGAGGCGGTAGATATCAGCAACTACCTCGTCTTACAGACATGCTTTGACTTTACAAAGTTCGGAAACGTTACACGTTACACAAACATAGCCACTTAAGTTGTATTAACTCCCCTTTGACGAAGTGATCATCACTGCACACACGGGGATTTTCCCATTCGGCTCCTCCCGACCGCAGACGTAGGTTTGCAAGCCGTTTTTCCGGAGTTTTTCGGTCAATTTCTTGCATTTTCCCCCATTATGAACAACAACTTTTGGTATACGATAAAAACTCCTCGCGGTTTGATCGATTTAAGTAACCATAAACGAGGCAAAACATAGGCATTTTGAGTTTGTTATAGTGCTTTCTAAATACAGCAAATCACTTCCTGCCCTCCATTTGCATTTCGCGCCATGGCAACGCAGTGGCGTGACGTCATATGAAAACAAGCTATACTTGAGCATTAGGACCCACACATACCACAGGGTGAGAATCCCCTGCTGACCTCTCGAACACCTCTTCCAGCAGCAAACTAGTTTTAGGTCTCCCATCCAGGTACCCTGCTTAGCTTCAGTGGGCAACCAGTCTTGGGCTACAGGGTTATATGGCTGTGGCTCGAACGCAAAAATAATTAACCAAGCATTTGAATTAGCAATTGTGCAATTAGAAAATAATTTCCCTGACAATAAACTAGAAAAAAAGTATTATTCTAGTATCTTATTCTGGCAGTGACCAATTGAATAATGTAGCCTACATGGATATGAACACAGAGAAACCCATGCATTACAGCAGCAACAAAGGAAGGAAAAAGACAAGGAGTTTGAGGGGGAAAAGAATCTTCTGTGATTCTCAGTTTCATAGACATCAAGCCTTCACACAAAATCAGGAGGAAGTCGGTTCTGTTCACAGGGAGTGTTGCTGTCGCACAAAAGTCTTTAAAGCAGTGGGAAGTCCATGGAAAGGGGATCATAGCAGTGTTTTATGTTCCCTTTCTTTCACTTTCTTTATGTCTCTTGAAAAGGCTTTTAGTCTCTCTAAAATGAAACATAATTTTAAGATGAAGCAGCATTGACATATGACATATGTAAGTGCATTTGCACAGACGCCCACTAAAACACACCAGAACAGCCCATCATGCCTTCAAAAGACCAAATCATTTGGCAACTTTCTAGCAGTTAAAATGATTTAAATGCATTTTCATGCATTTTTTCCAGACTGAAAGAACAAAACAAGGCCGTTCTAAAACCAGTCAAGGGAGGGATTCCTGGAAACTGATCAGCCAGCTGAGAATCATGGATAAGATAATGGGAGATGAGCAGTAATGGTGCCAGAGTTTGGCAGGGGTACTTTAGTATAGGCTACGTCAAACGCTGACCTCGGGAAGGATTCGGTATATGACACTAATTCACTGTACATCAGCACCTTGTCTGAAAACCTGGAGCTCACCCATCTAACCACAGCTCAACATCATGATCCACACAGGAGAGCTGGAAATCAAAGAAGGAATTTCAGTTGACAAGGATGTGGACGTCTCCAGCCAGTGCTATATCCAACCATTTCTCAAATGAATCTACAGTTATTGTCAAGGTAATAATAATAATATTAATAGTTTTATTAATTGTTATTATTACCTGACAACAACTGTAGAATAAGTTGATAAAAGGTTGGTTATTATTATTATTACTATTATTTTTATTTAAAACCAGACCATTATCAGTTGTAACTGAGTTATGGTCTGGCAAAGCGTCATAGACAAATCATTTCCAGAGGGGCGTCACCAACGGACGTCGCGGATAGACCTAAACCCAATCAGAGCGATGAAGGAGATGACGTATGCAGAGCGGCGGAGAAACATCTAGTGTTGTTCTTTGCTCGGTTTTTAACAAAAAGGAAACGTTCAAATCGCTTAAAACAGACGCGATAGCTGATTCGAACGAGTGATGTTCGACGGCGGCATCCATCTTTGTAATGTAGGCTAAAATCTGCTTCAAAATCCCAGCGCTGTCGTCATCGTGTAAAGCCCGCCCCAACGTTTCTGATTGGTGCCTCGATTTCGACGGATTGGAAATGGGCTTGAATGAGCTCTTTGCCATACTAACTTTCAGAGCAAATCTAAATTTGCCGGAAGTTGTCATGGTTTTCCCAGGCTAATTATACCCATTACCTGAGAAATTATGACTTACGGGTTTGGAACAACATGAGGGTGAGTAATAATGGCAATTTTCATTTTTGGGTGAACTAACCCTTAAACAATTGTAGAACAATTTGAGAAATGGTTGGAAATTAATATTAGTATTTGTATCAATAATAACAATATTAATAAGAATAGTAAAAAGAATGCAAAAGAGAATGTTTCATTACAGTCCATTGTGGAACATCAAATTGGACATTTGGTGGGATTTTAAGATTTTTTTTCGGGGGTATCGGAATGGTTCACTAGAATTTGTGAGTGCTACAAACAAACCCAAACTCCACAAACAAACAAACTGACAAACAGATTGTGGTTTGCTTATATTGTGCATTAAAAAAATGACAGAATTTACATTTTTGAGTAGACTTTTTTTAAACAAAGTTCCTAAGTTCCCAAGTTAACCAACACCACAAG